AGGAAATCTGATCGCGCGTCTGATTCATCTGACGACACACTCGCTGTGCCACCCTCCAAACGACCAAGGTTCGGCGACAAGAGTGCTAAGCTAACAACTGCTGGTGAGTGCAAAGTAAATATTTAGGTACAGGTTGTCCGGAAACTGTGAATGATTTCCAGCTAACGTATGATATTGTAATATTATTAAGCGATATATGTTTCAAAAAGGGATTATTAAGGTACAATGTCTTTTTAGTAAACAGGATGAATCAAATTTAAACGGGAAATATTTTTCCAAATTTGAGTACCAGTATAGCACAGCAGCACCATTATATAACTATTGTATATAAAGTAAATATTAACTTAGTTGGTTTCATAAGCATTTGGGAGCATGCGGAGGTAATGAGTGAGTGAGTTTGTTTGTTTGTTTGTTTATTAAGATCTCCATTAGTATGGTAAATTCCATACTATTCTTCCTAGAGTCCAGCAACATAAAATAAAATAACAATAATGATAATTACTTTTAGCAATAATGAGTAAGTGAATGTTCTTTGATAAAGTTTGTATTCATTTCAGTCGATGAGAACAAACATTTCGACATAGTGATAAAAGACGTCAGTCACAAGTGGGATCAATTAGCGAAAGCGCTTGGGTTCAGCCGGAACGACATAGAAGGGTTACGACATGACCAGTACCTTCATGACCAGGATCGGAAGTGTAGGGAGGTGCTCTGTAGGTGGAAAAACAAGAACGGAAGAAGAGCCACCTTACAAGTTTTGTATGATGCTCTCATCAACATCGAGGAGGAAGAAACTGCAGAAAAGTTGGAAGGTATGCATTTATGAACCATGCTGATTACTACTCATGAACAAATGAATAATAATATTTCTTATAACTACAGTTTTTATAACATTGTTCTGTTACTATTGTATCAGAACGGAATCCATTTACGTCTCTGGTACCTGTAAAGGACTATTTTATGCTTTACTGAAACAGTTGAATAACTTACATGTATCAGTTCTAGTTTCTGGAATACATGTTTGTCAACTCTGCTTTGCAGGAGGTGCCGGACCAAGCAGCATATACTTGGATAAAGAATCTAGCGGAGGATCAACAGCAGGTAATTTTTATTATTCTCTCATTTCTGTGTGTAGTTAGGTAGGTGACGGGGGCGTATGTAACAGTTGACAGTGACAGGTATCATTACAACAAACTCTGCGTAAACGTTTTGACCTATGCACTCTATCTGAAACTGCAGATCGCCCGACACCACGTCACCAGGAGAGAGCTGCTGAGCCTGAGGCCGGTGGAGACGAAGATCTGGTGACTGACGAGGGCGACGGCAAGATCGCCGTGAAAGTAGAAAAGTGTGATGATGACTTCTGGGACAAAACCAGGAATGAGGTAATTTTTTTCCATACATACGAGACTAGATTAGACATTGCCCAAGAGGCGAAATTGGTCACTATCTTTCTCCGTTATTGTCATAGTAATACTTTTGCTGATGTTTCGACTCATGACATTAAGAGTGTTAATATGACATTGAACTTATCAAAACAATTTGGATTATTTTATTGCTCAATGCTTGCTTGGTATCTGTACAGTAATGAGACGTTACGGAAAGAATTATCATTGTCATAATTACTATTATTTCTCAATCCAGAAACCATATAGAATGGACAGCAGGCCACGAGGACACGCTCTGATTTTGAACAACGCAAACTTCACAAACATGCGTCATCGACGGGGCGCTGGCGTTGATCTGAGCAACATTAAAGCTTTATTGGAGGGGCTGTCATTTAAAACACACGTCCTGGAAGACAAGACGGCTAAGGTTCGAGTCCAAAAATTATAACTGATCATTGATTCATTTCCCCATCGATAGCATCTACCTAAACATCCTTTTACATGGTTGTCGGTGATTGAATGCTAGTGCCCTTCTGTACTGAACATTTTCCTGCATACCTTGCATTCATTCTAGGAGATAGAAGTAGAGGTGCGCGCGTTTTCTCAGCGTAAGGAGCATCGCCACGTGGACAGCTGCGTCGTCGTGCTGATGTCACATGGGGACGAAGGCGTCATCTACGGAACCGACGACATCCCCGTACAGCTGGACGACATCTTCGCCATGTTTGACAATGTGGATACGAGTGGCATTGACAATGAGAAGTGCCTTCGTCTGAAGGGGAAACCAAAGCTGTTCTTCATTCAAGCATGCCGCGGACGTAGGTTTCTTGATATTTCTCTACGCACCACTCTTCTTCATGTCTCTCAATACTCACGCCCCCCTCTCTCCCTCTCACACACACACACAAACACACACACACACACACACATTAACAGCAAAAAATTCTATTTACCAGCAGTCAGTTGCACCGATCACCTTTTTACATTACCTATTACATCACCTTTTTACTTACCCATGATTAAAAAAGTTGTTCTTTCTCTATCACAGAAAACATTTACAAAGGCGAAGACCAAACAGACAGCGCAGCGCCAGAGGTTGACCTTGACGTTAAGGTCGACCTTAAGAGCGAGCTAGAAAGGCTCCTGTGCCCTCAGCAGGATGAGACAGATGGACCAGGTGTGGCGCCAACCAGAACCGACATGTTCTGTGGATACGCCACACAGCTAGGTAGATAAAACACTCTCTAGGCACAGGTTTAGGCTTTGGCTTGTTTTTGACGTCTTTTAGTGGGCTTTCTTTTTGGACCCATATCTTTTTTCGCCAATCACACGCGGTGGCCAATTTAATAGTATTTGATACTGCTCTGCCTATTGATACTGTCTTGTAGCCACCATCAGATCTGCTTGGAGATAAGATAAAACAACAAAGCGACACGTGGTGGTTTCAGATACTGTAGATACGATGCTACAACGACATGCCCAAGATCAGAACATTTTGAACAGGGATTTTTTCCCTCTAGTTAATACCTTGTCTTCTGTGTTCTATCCTTTCAGGGTACCAGGCCATCAGGAACACTGAGAATGGCAGCTGGTTCATCCAGGACATCACCAAAGTCTTCATGAAGAACGCAAAGAACACGAGCCTGATCGACATGATGAAAATGGTGAGACTGTACTGTATTTCTTGGGACGGTCTCCCTCTTTTTTGCCTATTCTAAGTCTATGTCTACTTCATTAGCCGATTAAGCTGTTAAAGGGTTTGAGTTCTATTCTACAGGTAGTGCAGGTTGTTATATGTAACAAAACAAAGTGTGCACAATTAAATAGATACAACAAGGGAAATCGCAGATTTCAAACCTCCGGTTTTTTTTTGTGTTCTGTTGGTTTAGGTTATTTGTTTGTGTGTAGTATGAAAGTTATGTGCGTAATATGTTTGTATGTGTTTGATGGCTACTGACGGTTGGTTCGGAATGGACTGTTGATTAACGTGTCTCACAGTCTGACAGCCTGCACCGTCACCCGCGCCATTACCCCCGCCGTCATCCCGCGCCGTCATTGCTGCGCCGTCACCCAAAATTTTTATCGGAACCAGACACCCCTCTGTTTGACCCCTTTTGAATGCTAAGACCCAAAACTGCAACCGCCCCATTCCTTAACAACATGGTAATTACCATTTTCAGCATGGCGGGGGTGTCCGGAGCACTTAAAAACCTTTATTTCGACGCCCATAAACACATATGCAATTAAACAAAAACGTTCTGCATCATCTGCAGCCCAATAGCAATACGTATACCGAACCACAGACAAATCCGTCCAGCCGATCGCGAGAAACAGCTGCTGACAGAAATGTTCGAACCATAGTAAAACCTCCTCGCGGAAGGATATCTCCTTCCCCGGAGGTAAAAAAGGAAACAAAAGGAGGTATGAGAGGCAACGTTTTATCTATATTCTTATTTCTGTAGGTTAAAAAGGACATGTCCAAACGAAAAGCATCCTTCGGGGGAAAACAAGAGGCCGACTTTCTATCCACGTTGCAGAAGCCTCTGTACTTCTTCCCTGACGAGGACTAAATCGCCACAGAGGCCGGTGTTATGACGTTTGTATGAAGCACGAAAAGATTGCTGTAGTTCGAGTTTAGGAGTAACAAATTATTTCAAAGGAATAAAATTTTGTATAAGTTCATGTAAGGTCTGAGCGAAGTGGTTTTGTATACCCATGCCACATGTTTACTTTTATCTTAGCAGCACTTTTGTGCAGAATTTGCTATTTTAGAGTGTGTGACTAGCTATTGACAAGTTAAGTGCGATATTTAGCAGCATAGTAAAGACCTGTTTGGAGTAGCACTTATTAGAACTGTCCTGTACACTGAGAAATTCAGTTTTTACTGAGTTGTATGAGAAGCAACGATCTGATTAAGGCTATCAATGGGTCATGGAAACGACACGTTCATGTACGTAAAACAGCTTCGTATTTGCGATTTATTCAATTTGCAAGAAAGATTACGAGAGCCTAAAACACAATTCTATATAATTGCCCATGCCCTATATTTTCTGAGGACATTGTTTTTCTACGGAGACAAAATGAAAGTGGCATAAATCAACCAAAGGTTACTGAGAATATCCCAGTCTATTATTTCTGATGTGGCTGTGCATGTGGTGATGACAACTGCAGAAGCTTCGAATCATGATTACAGTTTATAAGATATTATTAAGATTAGCATTCATTTAATCTTCATTAGATTAAGATGGAAATGATGAAACTTGATTTCTGAAAAGAGATTTTTAGCCTTCAAGACTGCTTTACCTGCTAGCTGAAAGAAGACAAAAACTTACTTGATTACAAACATTTGTATCCGACGGTGAAGGAAATAAAGCCCTAAAAGCGAAACATGCCAGTAGGAATGGATGCCGGCCATTCACTTTAATATCCAAGCAGATCCTAGGGTGGTAAAATACAGTATCAAATTGGCCAGGCAGTATCTATTGGCCAGAGAGGGCCCAATACGCCATCCACAATCGTATCCATTGACCAGAAAGGGTGGCGTATTGGACAAACTAACAAACAAACAAACAAACAAACAAACAAGCAATGTATACTGCCTGGCCAATTTGATACTGTGTTTTACCACCCTATGATCTGCTTGGAGATTACATTCACTCCGGGCCATCGTCAGTCGGCAGAGCCATGTAGGCCGTCTTGTGGTCTGTGCGCCTGCGCATGTAGACGATGACGCCCGCCAGCGTGACGACGGCGCACAGCAGCAGCCCGACGGCGATAACCAGTGACGTCATGACGCCAGGAGGAACGCGGGCCCCACGATTCTCCTCAACATCTTCTGTAAGACATGTGGGGAAAGCTGATTTTCTGTATGTGTATCTGTATGACTGGCATAGGTCTTTTACTGTGCAATGTTGTGCAATGGTCAATTAAAAATGCCTTGTTAGATTCCTGGCACTTCTGACCAATTTCTGACCGAACACCATGAAGGCTGCATGTAATACTGCATGATACTGTCGAAATTCCCACGAGTCTTTTGTGTGTATTGGAATGTATCAATGTAATCATCTCCAAGCAGATTCGCTCCAAAATTATTGTAATACATAACAGTTTCTGAATTTTGTAATCTAATATGACATATCCGTGAATAGTTTCATCAGATTGGTAAGACACTGAATAAAGAGACACAACGTTACCAAGACCCGACCAAGCCTTTTAGTCAAGCAATATGGCCGAATAAAATACTTAGTTGTGTAAAAAGAGTCTCTTTACTAAATATTACCACCGTTGATAACATACCTGTGTCCCTGGATCGCTTGTACCCTGGGTTCAGAATGGGTCCCTTGTACACGTTGTACCGAGGCTCGGCACCTGGAGCAGTCCTCTTCTGCCGGGCTGAAGGCGGCAGGCAGCCCTGGGCACACCGAGAAGTCAGGTCTGTGGCGTTACACACCATCACCGTGCAGTGTAAGTACACCTGCAAGGAACGTGCAATAAGTTATACTGAATAGAAATAGTTCTTTATTTACAATCATTTGTTCATTAGTAAGCCGACGTTTCGATGACCGTGATTTTTATCAGGGCTAATATGGCTGCTTTGAAAATGTTGCAAGATTTCATCCCTTTGTTCTTGAAATGTCATTTATATACTGCTTTCGAATTAGGAAGCAAATAAATCTTTCTGAATACCCATGTGTTGAAGGTGTGTGCTGATGGATAAACGATGTAGCTCATAATTAGGGAGAAAAGTAAGCGTCTACCTCAGGATAGTCCTTGACAAAAGCGAATGAGTTGATACTGAAACGCTGCTGTTTTAGGCTGCTCGAGAACAGCGACAGAAAGGTACTGTCCACCGGGCATCTAAATGAAACAAAAACAGTTACGTTCGACAACGACAAAATTTAACGGCAAAACTAGAAAGGCCAATATTTGCTATGGAGCAAATACAGCGATGGGTTCACCACATTTTACGACATGGCAGGGAAAGAATGAGAAACACAAGGGAAAACAATGATTTACATTGATATAACTATAATATGAAGTAAAATACAACTAAAACAACAGTTGGATAGCTATTCCCTACTTTATTGGTTAGGATTTTTAATTGCATAATGCAAACTGTTGATTTTCAAAAAAAAAAAAAAAAAAAACGTCCATGCCCCGCATTCCAATGCTGGAGCAGGAAAGCTTGAAATACCTACCAAAACACTTGAATACAGACATACTGTCAGTATGGAAATGCTCTGTGCAGGTGTTAATCAAGTTAAATCCCAACAGCCAATCAGCAAGAAATGCTCTGTGCAGGTGGAAATGCTCTGTGCAGGTGTTAATCAAGTTAAATCCCAACAGCCAATCAGCAAGAAGAATAGAGGAAAGCTGCATGCCTATTGGTTGATGCCCTGCATTCCATTGTGATGACTCATGCCCAAACGTGGTAAACAAGGCACACTAACACAGTAATACATTTGCTATAACACAGCCAAAAAACTCAAATAAAACCATTCTAAAAGCCTGTATCACAATAATTCAAAAAACGCCTAGGGGTATTTGCCCACTGTACCTCCATACCAAATTTCAGGACCTTGGGCCCTAAAATGAAGAAGCTGAATCCATTTAAAAAATGGCAGGAGAAGAAGAAGAAGAAGAAGAAACATCAGAAAAAGCAATATGGTTTCACCACACCACTTCGTGGTGTGGTGAACCCATAATGATATCTTAAACATTGTCTTGATATGAACGGTATTTGTTGTAGTGCCTACCCATCGCTGATGAATGTGTAAGACATTGGATCTTGCATGTTCGCTGTCGGAGTGGCCAGGCAGTTTTCTGCGAACAGCTGTAGATCCTGGTCGGGAGTCAAAACCTCCACTTGCACGTAAAGCGGCTGGTTCAACTGTACCACGTACGGGAAAGTGTCTGGGGGAAAAGACCAAGTCAGGGTTTTGGAACATGTGAGAAAACTGCAAGTGATACTGATAATTTCACAGTCATTTTTCTTTTGCGGTTGACGGTTTAATTGCAACTTCCCAAAATTAAATGGCTTCAAGTTGAAAGTTAAACTTTAGCCTTTGAGTCATACTTTCAATGTTTACAAAAGTTTGTTGTATTAAAGTGTTCTTGAAGTGGCAAAACATATATATGCTACCTATTTGCTGCTGGAAGGTGACAGACTGAAACAGTTGCATGTCGAAGTTGTACTTCCCATGATCCGACGTGAAGAAGTAGATCTTCTCGACCTGTGGGCTGAACATGGCGCTCACGGTATCCCGTGAGTCCATGCGGCATTCGAAAGGCACCTCAAGTTCCCGGATGCGAGTGATGAAGGCGATGCCGTCGTTGTCGTGGCTGAGGACCTTGTTGAAGTAGATGATTTCTGATTCTGTGTCCTAAGGATATAATGTAAAGGAATCAACACAAAAGTACTGTGAAGTTTTCTTTCAATGTGTTTAAATTTTCTAATTCTCAAAATACACAAAGAACACATTGCTCCATTGTCCTAAATAGAAATATTGAAGTATTGCGATGATGCCAAGTTTCAAGAAATCGAAAAAGAGATACATGAAGTTTAGGGCAATTTGCCAATAAAGAAGTGGTCTCCAAGCCAATGTTGGAGTGATAGAGCGCAAAGTTTTCTGACTGCCTTCTCTGATAGCTACTCAACCAAAAACCTGCAGACAGTCAGTGTATACCAGAGAATGTTATTTTAATTAACAACCGAGCGTAACCCACTCAAACTGTGCTTATTGGGGTGGGCAGCTGTCAGATGACTTAATGTATGATGACTTAATTGCTCAAATTTGATTTGTCGTGTCAGTAGGAATAAACCATCTTGTTTGTTTTGCGGAGTTAGTCATAGTCTTTTGAGACTGACTGACAGAGGGAGAGAGAGAGAGAGCTGTCAGAGAAACCAATCAATCAGAAAACCTGACAATCCTCAACCCTAACGTCAGTACTCACCGTCTTGACCGTTCCGCATCCTTCAAACGGAGCAGTCAGGATGAGGTGTGTGGCGTTTCCGGTCGCTGTGCATGATGGGTCTATGAGGTGCAGATGATCCTTATCGAAGTCTGGAATATGTGATCGACGGAACACAATCTGCATGGACTCTCCTGTACACTCCAACATGGCGAAGGCTTGGGGAGACAAGACAGACCTGTCAAAATTTCTCTTTACGTTTACGAATGATTGTAAGATATTTACTGCTAGCTAACACTGCCCGGCCACATTTCTTTTACGATGGTCGTCCAAGCACCTAAAAGGCAGTCTTGAGATAGTCGAGCTTGTGTCGTAAAAAGATCCAGTCGTCTTGTTACCGAACATGTTCTCTTGGACTCTTGTTGGCGGTTTGTTCTGCCATAAGTTCACAACCCTACATACAGTTCATCAAAAGTATGACGAACTATGAGGAATGTGACTTATTACTTTGCAGATCAACATCGTTTGCCGTATACAGAGTGACCAATTCTTTTAATATCTAATACTCGTTGTAAAAGATCAGATATCATTGTGTGGTACTGCTAATCATAAGTGAGAAACCAAATAGAGAGAAGTGAAGAAGTGAAAAAGTGATATTTTTCATTACCTTCGCCGTCTACGACTGAAGGAAGTGACGGCTTGGTGAAGATATCGGTAGGCTTCCCCGTGTGCACCCCTGTTGTGCTTGTCCTGTAGGTTGTCTCTGGTACGACTGAAGTGACGTTTGGGACCGTTCCAGGCTGAGCTGTTCTGGTCGTCGCTTCTGTGGTCGTCACATTAGTGGTGGTCATATTAGTGGTCGTCATATCAGTGGTCGTCATATCAGTGGTCGTCATATCGCCGGTCGTTACATCAGTGGTCGTTACATCAGTGGTCGTTACATCAGTGGTCGTTACATCAGTGGTTGCCACATCTGCGTACATCGGTAAGAATAGCTGATTAAATCATTTTGTTAACAGAAGTTGTTTTGCTTAGAAAAAGACTGCTGTAAAGAGGGCACCACTCACACAACAGTACAATGTTCTTTAATGTAGTCTTCAGTTCTTACCAATACTGTACTTGGCCTTGAACCCTGCGCGCGACCCACTACCGTCTGAGCGAAACTGGACTGACATGACGTTACCGACCGTCCGCACGGTTGGAGGCAGGGTGTCTCCACAGAATTTTCCCAAGATGGGAGAAGCACTGTCTCGTCCATCGAGGACTCTTACATAATCGTACCGGCAACTGAGGATTGCAGACACAAGATTGACTAAATGACTCAATAATCCAATAAAAACAGGCATAGATATGGTACCTCATATGTCAACATTAGGTTATAATTGTTGTCTTGGAACTTGAATGAAAATGTTACAGCACAAGATTATAATACTTTTTTTCTCTTGAAAATCGTGAGATAAAGCAACAATACATCTCCAAACAAACCTTTGATGAAACTTGATGTCAAACTTCAATTCTTATCATGATTGTTTCATGGCAGGAACACACAACTCGTAGAGCAACAGAGAATGAAAAAATCTCCCTTTCTGATCTTAGGTAAGGGAAAGATGGCAGTAGATTGGTAAGATTTGAATGTGATTGATGTAAATCTCATGTAAGTCACATACTTAGTACCAGGTTCAATGTCAAACGTGACAAAGTCCAGCTGGATGGCTGAAGGTGCAGTGATTGTCCAAGAACAGTCGGCGTTATTTGGGTAGTTGCCAGGGTAGTTTGGTGACATGATGTAACCTTCTGGTACTGAGCCTGTGAGAGTCAGGGTCTCGCCCTGAACACAAGCTGTAACTGATTCACAAATAAACAATTTAAAGATTTTATATAGGAGTCACAACCGTGAAATCCTAAAATCCTAAGAACAGAAAATCTTCATCTTCAACACCAAACGAATTGTCAGATGTTTGCTGGCATATGAAGTGTTGCGTGTTGCAAAGTTTTCATTTCGATCATCCTCACACTTTTGTCCATTTTCATAGTATCAGCTATTCTCTAAATGTATGTTCATCGCGGGTGTTCTGGTAACTTTAAATTGTCTTAGGTGTGCAAGTTGGAGCAGAACCATGGAACCACGGCGTTATTTGAGTAGTTGTTAGGGTAGTTTGGTGACATGATGTACCCTTCTCTTACTGAGACTTTGAGAGCCAGTGTGTCGCCATCGACACAGGCTGTAGCTGATGCACAAAATGAAATAGACAGTAGTCACAGATATAAAATCATGTCAGGTGCTCGTAACAAACGAACCAATACATCTACGTACAGCAGCCGAAGAACTGTCTGTGTTTGAAAGTAAATGAACTGTTGTACATCTTTTTTCGATGATCCTTTTAGACCAATATTTTCTTACTTAATCACCTCTTAGTGTTTATTCAAAACTTAACATGTGGTCTTGTACCATTGAAGCGTCTTACGTGTGCATGTTGGAACAGGATGACTCCATGTTTGATCGACCAGGCAGGTTAGATTGGAGGCTCCGATCAGTTCGTACTCCTGGTTACAGGTGAACGTAACCACGTCCTGGTAGTAGCTCGGTCCTGCAGGACTCAGCTCACCGTTAGCTGGGGCCGTCAGCGTTGGGCACTGTATAACTGTAACATTTCAGTGGACAGTTAAGTGAGACGAATCCGTTTGATTATTTTCTTTTTATATATGTTTTATACATGCCTGTTAAAATTGCCCACATTAATCGTTTATCTACCCACCATTTTTTCACGTCGGTACCTTCTGGTACTTAGTGCGATTACATGCAAATAAATGAGGTATGGAGGGTAACACCGTACCCACGCGATGGTCAAATTTTTGTCAATTAAATGTCAAGTTAAGAAAGCCTCAATGTAAAGATATCCCCAGAATTTCAATGGACCAAAAGTGCAGTGCAGTATTTACCCATGCTGTACTTGGCCTTGAACCCTGTATGTTGAAAACTATAGTCCGAGTGGAACTGCACTGTCATTACGTTACTGACTGTCCGCACGGTTGGAGGCAGGGTGAATCCACAGAATTTGCCCAAGATGGGAGAAGCACTGTATCGTCCATCGAGGACTTGTACATAGTCGTACTGGCAACTGGATATACCGGACACAAGGTACAATAAGTGACTCAGTACCACGTAGATGAACCGATACACAAGTGAACTCAAGCAAGCAACTGGATAGAATTTGAGAACTGTCAGGCGTTTCAAGTAGTATCCACTACTTTTCGTCAGTGACTGCAGTATTCAAATTCTTTCACTCAATTTCACGAGAACACGAAAACCAAAGAGCAACGTGTTTCCCTTTCTCTGATCATGGAGTTAAAAGACTCTAGGTTTTGTTGTTATGCTCTAATCTTAGGGAAGGGAAACATGGAAAGAGAATATCTAAATGTGAATGATGTAGATCTCATGTGATTAACGTACCTAGTACCAGGTTCTACGTCAAACGGCTCCAGAAATTCCAGTTGGATGTTCGAGGGTGCAGTGATTGTCCAAGAACAGTCGGCGTTATTTGGGTAGTTGCCAGGGTAGAAGGGTGACATGATGTAACCTTCTGGTACTGAGTCTGTGAGAGTCAGGGTCTCGCCAGGGACACAAGCTGTAGCTGATGACCAAACAGATAATTTCAAAACTTTGCTTAGCTTTCGCAAGTATGAAATCTTGCCAGTTGAACAGAAAATATTTTTCTTTACATCCGGTTTACCAAACCGGTAGCACGAGCAGTGTTTGCCCATGTTATCTATTTTTGCTGTTCTAAAATCTCTACGTATAGGAACGACGCCAGTATAACTCATATCACATCTATCCAAGAGATAACAGTGCACATACTTTCCACCATGTATATTCAAAACATATGTATTTGAACTTGTAAACCGTCTTACATATGCAAGTTGGAGCAGGATCACTCCATGTTTGGTCAGCCTGGCAGGTCACATTGGAGGCTCCGTTCAGCTCGTACCCCTGGTTACAGGTGAAGGTTACCACGTCCTGGTAGTAGTGCGGTCCCGTAGAACTCGGCGCTCCGTTAGTTGGGGCCGTCAGAGAAGCGCATTTTTTAACTGAAATAAGGAAATAATTTTTAAAGAAATAATTCCTCTTGAATTATTTGAGCTTCTGACTGTGTTTGAGTGAAAGTTAAGCGGTACAAATCTGACCACAAAAGGTCAGACACAGGAAGTTAAGTCTCAGAAGCTGCCGAAGGCCAACAGCTGGCTAGGCACCAGTGGGAAAATGTAAGGTATGTAAGTTAAGGTAAGGTGTACTTACCCATACTGTACTTGGCTTTGAACCCTGTACTTGGTACACTGTAGTCCGAGTGGAACAGAACCACCATGACGTTGTCCACTGTCCGGACTGCTGAAGGCAGAGTGGCTCCACAGAATGTGCCCAAGACAGCAGAAGTGTTGTATCCCTCGAAAACTTTTACATGATCGAACTGGCAACTGAATAATTCAGACACAAGGAAAAATTAGTGACTTCAAAAAACGTATACTCGTAAATGGATAAAGTCTTTTGGATACTCGCGTTGATCGAGTCGTTATTTGGGAATCCATGGCACACAAAATCGTGTGATTTCTTATCAGTGTTTCGTCGAAGGAAACAAAAATCACGGAATAGCAAAAATAAATCTGAGGGAAGGGAAAAATGGTAAAAAAAATGAGTTGGATGTGGATGATGTCGATATTTGATCTTTGAACCATTCGTAAATCTCGTGTGATTCACTTACGTCGGACCATATTCAAGATTAAACGTCTCCACAAAGTCCAGCTGGACGGCTGTGGTTGAGGGTGCAGTGATTGTCCAAGAACAGTCCATGTTAATTGGGTAGTTTCCAGGGTAGTTTGGTGACATGATGTATCCTTCTGGTACGGAGTCTGTGAGAGCCAGGGTCTCGGGGACACAAACTATAACTGGTGTACAAGTAGATAACAGTTTTAATTTCAATATAGCAATCCATATTTTGTTTTAGCTTGGTGAGTAGTAAAACTTCGCATTGGATGATTAAGAAGTCAAAGGTTTCCGATTAGTCGCTTGGTTGCAATTAAACTACAAAGTTGCACTTGTAGTGATTATCTTACATATGCATGCTGGAACATCATCACTCCATGTTTGGTCAGCTTGGCAGGTTAAACTAGAGGCCCCAGCTAGCTCGTACCCCCGGTCACAGGTGACCGTAACCACGTCCTGGTAGGAGTTCGCTCCCTCAGGACTCAGAGCTCCGTTAACTGGGGCCACCAGAGCTGGGCATTGTACAGCTGAAACCATGAAACAATGTTGGTTAAGAACCTTTCGTATCTTTATTACCCTAAGTTCAAGTAGGTTTGCGGTTAGAGTAAGACTATAAATGTTTTGGTTTCGAGTCTTTAACAGGACCCAATACTTTGCCCTTATCATCCATTTAAAAGAAATGAGGGAAAACATACGTAATTCACATTGGCTCCCATAGAACGCGTCGCTACAGGTGCATGTGTAGTTCCGGTCGCCGTCGATGCAGGTCCCGTCATTGAGGCAGGGGGCGCTCTTGCAATCATCCATATCTAGAATTATCAATAATATGGTTTATCTACATATTCATTGAATGTCATGTAACCTTCACCATGAAAAGTGAGGCATAGAACATCACCGTTAATCATCGTGCATCATATTCCAATTATAAAATCAAGGGTCACACAATCGGTCCCTATCGCCGTCTAGTCTAGTGGCCATGGAAAGGGGACCTTAATTAAGTGGAACCTACCGTGCTCACAGTTGGGTCCGTAGAACTGCTCCCCGCACGTGCAGGTGTAGTTGTCCTTCCCGTCTGTACACGTGCCGTTATTCAGGCAAGGGGAGCTCAGGCACTCGTCAAACTCTGTCATGGGAAATTGCAAAGGAAATTTATTTTCGATCGCCTCCACAAATTAAGTGATATTGCATTTATAATTGTTTAAGATGAGATGAAATGCACTTATCTGTTCTGTGCATGTACAGGCACGTGTGTACAAATGAGTTTGTCGTTGCAGAATTACGACCAATATTCAAACATGTTGACATTGGTATCTTTCGTATCACTCAGTCTAAGTACTGACCACGAAAATTGTATTATAACCATTTCCAAACGTAAGATGATCTGTATGGATATGACAGCTTACCCGGATAAGGACACAGCCCCTCTCGTACTGACACGTCGTCCAGTCCGATGTCTCCGTACCCGAAAACACCCCCATCCCCGATAACGGCCTGGAACACAACCTGGGGGAAACCGACGGATTTAGTTAACAACTCTAACTATATATGAACGTTGCAAGGCTATTTTGTGTTTTACGTGGTTGGTGTATTCGAATTTAGCAGCACGAAAGACAACATTTGCATTGGGAAACAGACTCCAGGCTGCCTCCAGGACAGCAGCTTCTGGGACCTAACTTCCAGTGTCTGACCTTTTGTGGTCTGTGATTAGGGGAGTCCCCCACCCACGGGCTGTCATTTAACTGTACAAACACACAAGAACACAGACACACACACACACACACGCACATGCGCGCGCGCGGACGCATACGCACGTACACACACGCACATACGAACGCACACACAAACAAATCAGAAACAGTACCTACAACAAACACTACTTCAGTACCTCATAAGGGAAGTCGGCAGTAATCTCTATCCCACCCCTCCGCCACCCGGCACCCTGTTGTCCCACAAGCCTCCACGCGGGTGTCATGGCAACCGCATCGGTCAATGACATGTCGTCTCTCTTCAGGTAGACGTTCAGGGCACCTAAAGAGTCAATGTGCATTGAGATATGAGGTGCCGCTTGCACGAATCATAAACATACATGTATATATTATGTATGTACCATTATCATAACTTTGACAGTTTACCAACTAGATGTATCACGCTGCACATGAGTAGCCAGTTGGAACCATGAAACGGATTATTGTTCAGTGCGTATATGGCACAAATGCTTTTTGAAGGTATAGTTAGATAGAGCGCCAATGATCTTTACTGTTTCACATTCGGCACTTCTGAGTCCTATTTAGGTATGGTTTGAATGGTCATGCTCACCGACATCTGGACCGTCCATGTAGTAGAAGAACTCCACACATTTTGCCGGAGTTGGCGGCTGAACCTCCGTGGAGAGAATGGCGGTGTCGTCAACATGTCTTCCCGTGGCGTCGGCAAGCAGGAAGGAGCCTCCTAAATACAGTGGATGGTAGAAATATCAGTTTTCTGATTATAACAAAAAATTCAGTAGGTTTTAAGATCTTTGCACTTATTTTTTTTATTGAAATTGCAATACAAAGGCGACCCCGGGCAGCATTGCTGATAACAGGTGCCTTCTGACATAGCCATTCACATTCATATGTGACATTCGCATGACTTCGCTCCCAACAACTCCAAAACCAAGGTGGGGAGTAGCCTGGAATCACGAAATCACCCTATTCTAGATCGCTCTCGTGGTCATCCCACAAGGCCGCGTGAACAACTGCACTTAATATGTACCTAAAACAAGACCACGCACCTGCTCCGGAGGTGTGATCACTGGTAGGACTCCAGAATTCTGATCCTGTTGCGGACTTCCACGTCCACATGAAGTCAGCAATGCTGTAGTTCCTGATGTATCCGCAAGAGCTAACATCAAACGTGCAGGATCCATAGTCTGTTATTGGGAACAATATTGCGTGAGATTTCTACTCTATACTTTCTACGTATACATCAATGACAAATAACGACTGCCTGCAATAATTTGGATGGTCTGTTACAAACAAAGTAGTTTTGAGATCGATGGCCTGTTACAAACAACCAATTTTTAACAGTTTTTGGCTAAGATAAGAAAAAAAATTCTTCCAAACACCATTCGTAACGTAACAATTGGCAATTATGAGGCTTTCTATAGTAGGGTGGGCAAGCTAGATACGTTTCTAAGGTCTGTGTGGGGAGTTTGCACCGAGATTAGCTTTAGGGCGTACCGAGACGTGGTAACCGTTATGTTCACCGAAGAACTCACCACATCCGATGATTTCCAGCCGGAGACTGGGCTGCATGTGATACTGTATAGGAATGACTCTGATGCGCTGCGCCTGGAGCCGACCTGAGAACAGGTGTTCCACAACACTGTCTGCATCAACGTTTCCGGTCAGCTGGGGGAGAAAACGTCATGATATAGTTAAGCTAGTGTATATATATACAATCTGATGCACTGTGGGGTAATATGTCAAAGTTGAAGATCCTTTTTAATGCATTGTCAATGACCTTCAACCTTAAAAGTCCAACCAACTTCTGTCAACAATATTTTTTTTTTCATTGGACTGGTGCATCTGTCAACATGATAATTCAGTCCGAATCGAAGAGTAAAGAAAGTACTTCACCTGGTCAGTTGTTATAAACGCGTTACACGTGATCCACATTGAAGACAGTGTCTCGGAGTACTCGACCTTGTACTTGGTTATCCACCCGGTTCTAAAGCCTTGGGTTCTAATAAAGAGGGAGAAGAAAAAAATGAAGTAGGTCAAACATGTTCGAATGTAAATTTCCAGTAAATTTAATTGTGAAAAAAATTGTGAAATAGTTGTACGAAAAATACGATCACAGGAAAGCACGTAGTCAACTCAAGATAAAATAGGGAAGACAAATATTCGGCTTACAGAATGCTCTGTAGGCGTGCTTTCTTCGATCCATAGTTTAATGTATTGATGTCCTATCATATGATAAAGTCTACTAACCTGATACCAGTTAAGATCATGGTAGTGGGGAACTCCACTTGCAGCCAGGAACTGTGGGGAGTGGAGGGTATCCAGCAGCCGTTACCATGGAGACGAGCCTTAGCTGGCGGGTAGTCCTGGCCGCTGGGTGAGGCGGTGATCTGGTCGTCTGTTATCCACCGGCTCTCCATCCCCAGTGGTACGTTACAACCTGTCGTGGTCAGGGGAACACAGTGGGAGATAAACTGGTAGTTGTCCTCGGCTTATTTGTTTCCCATAGCCGTTAACCCCATCTTTAGGTGTAACACGCCAGTTTTGTACAGTAGTAAATCTTACTCTTTCCGTTAAACGTGGTGGGATCTTTAACGTGCTCGATGTGTGGCTCCCCTGAAACGCGGGACCTCTGGTTTTACGTTACTGCATTTTCTAGCACACTTAAGCGTAGTGTTGGGTGCGTTGGTGACCGAGTGACCGCAATGAAGAACAAAATATAATGCTGGCATCACAATACAGTGTATGCACCAGTTATATGACAACTGTATGTTGTTCGAGTGAAGTTTGAGCGCATCCTTACCGTCACTGTCACACGGTCCGTTGATGAAGACGACGTCATCTATCGCGATCAGTCCCGGCTGCCCTGAGCCGACCACTGCGTCAAAGTTGATCTAAAGCAAACATACAAGTATGCATTTGTCTATAAATATATGAAGATTGTCGTAGATTAAAGTTCTCATACTATATATTTGTACTAACCCTATAGCCCATAGGCGTGCCGCCAACATCCAGTGGAGACGTGATGTCCACCCGGGCTTGTCTCCACTCCCGGCCCTGGTCTCCTTCTACCGACCAGAGCTCAGTCCGCCATTGCTGATGGGAATTGAAAATAGAACAGTGTTGAATATAAGTCAACCTACCTAAATGTCCTTGACGTGCGAAGCTTATAGAAATAACCAATGAAACACAAGCAAACCCACAGACACACCCGAAACAAAATCTCAGTATAAGGAGGTGTGATAAGCCTAATAAATTTAAAAAAAATGCGGTATATATATCAACAGAAACCTCTTTCCTCATGACCTCAATGAAAAGTGGCCCATAGGCCGCAATTTGAGATTCTCATTAATAAATGGTGTCAAACGTCTAACATACCTCTCCGATCTGATTCTGTAGCACAGCCAGAGACCCCACACCCGTCCCCGCCATGTAGTAGTAGAAGGTGAGACAGTGGTTTATGACGGACGCCAGCTGCATGGACCGCAGGATGGCGGTTTGGGACGGGGTTCTGCCGGTGGTGTTGAAGTAGGCATAACTCCCTGCATGAAAAATCGATTGTTAAACAATAAACTTCATTGCACAGCCATTGTAGAAGGTACAACGTATATGGCATCTACTGTTATGTAAAGATATATGAGACTTATCTACCTTACAAAGACTATGTATTATATATGGGATCAGAATGTGATTTTACAGATTATTAGTGAAAGTCTAGCGTGCAGGCATTTAAAAAAAATACTGGCGTGTATGCGCAATGCATAGGTTGTCAATGTGTCAATATGCCAATGTACATGCCAATATGTACTTAATTTTGCAGTTGGAATCCATTGATAGAGAGTTGGTATATTATGATGAACTAGAGTTCCCCGATCTCATACCTTCGCCAAATGATGTTAATCTTTATGACTGACAAATTATACATTAGATTATTCCCCCCTGATTTAAGAAATAGGAACCTAATTTTCATGAATTATATCATTTTATCATAATCTCAACCAAAAAACAGTCTTATACTAACAAACAATGCATTCTAGCATTTCCTCATAAATTATGCAAATGAGGTCCTGATTTGAATAAATTATGTTTAATGATGTTCACCTCAATTTAACTTTCAAATACCACAAGTATGAAATTCCAGGCAGTTATCATTACATAATTATAAAATTTTCTCATTAATTATGCAAATTAGGTCATTATTAACATAATCAATATTTTCCTGTGTTTCTTTCGTTGTCAATTACCAATGTCACAAGCTTTAATTGTCCTATCATGGAATACAGCTGATTTATAGAATTTCCCCATAAATTATGCAAATTACATCCATATTTGCATAATTGTCACATAATTATATTAAGCATCACGTAAGCTACCTACATACCAAAAATCACGACGATCCGTCAACCGGTTCTTGAGTTATCCCCTTTTGAATATTTTCAAGAATATATCGCTGCAGTTCCAGAGCAAGCCTAAACTCACGTCACTTCTTCCCCAGCACAAGAGCTACCTACCATCTAAATTTCATCACCATAGCATGTCTAGATCATGAGATATCAAAACCGGAAGTTCAGCTGCAGTACCATAACAAGCCGCTAGGGGGTCCAAAATCTAATCATTTTGAGGTCTCATCAAGACCTACCCACCTACCAAGTATCAAGACAATCCATCAAGGCCTTCTCAAGTTATCGTGTTTACAGACAGACACACACATACACGAACGCCCCTGAAAACATAACCTTCTTGGCGAAGGTAATTAATCAAAAAAGCATGCCCGGTGTACCTCGAAGTGCATTGTTACCACTGTAGAAGGGTCTCAATTATGCCACGTGTTACTTTCTCACGCTTTATTCAAATAGTCAATGAATCGACCCGAGCTGCAGCGTTGCTTCATGTTTGCGCTATGTAAGAAGACAGTCAACCGCAGAGTAGGGTATTAAAAAAATGGCATAACGTAACCGGTTTAAATTCGAATGAAATTCTATTATATAAAATGCATCATCATAGCATAGGTAACCGCTCTATCTATCGACGAAAAGGCTACATTATAAAGAATCATCTAGTTCTAAACTGAACGTATTCGGTGAACATACATTTCTTTCCAAATATCCAACATATGGAGATAAAGCAATAAGAAAATGTTATGTGAATCCTTGGTACTTACCCCCGCCCGTGTGATCACCGCTCAGTCCGAGAGACTCCACCGGACCAGACCCGACTTCCCAGTCGAAGTCATCCCCAACGGTTTGTTGAACGAAGCCGCACAGAAGGTCCCCTGCTCCCCCGTCAAAGTTACAGTTGCTGGCGAACGGTACTTGTACTTGAGAACTTACTAACACAGCGGCCCAAGTCAGTATTAACCACAGGATACCTGTCACAAAGGGTGTGTGACAGGTGTCAGCCATTGTGCAGCCGGATAGACAATACACAGAACGGACTAGTTACCTTCTGGAAGACCAGGATGAACCTAAATTTCTAAATTTAAACCTGTTTGAGGCACTGAAGCAGTTTGTTCGATACACCACGCTGTGTCCGGTATCCTCTACCGGTTATCGATGTTTGTCCGGATTCAAGGCTGTACTTCAAAGTTCCCGCCTTCAGTTGTTTACTCACTGGTACATCCTTGCCGGGTTTTTAAACTACTAGTACCTCGAGTGTGTAAGAGTGAATTAAAGGACAAAATGTCGGAATTCCGATCTTGTGAATGTGCATGCTAAAACTTTTGCACACATGTTTGGAGTTTTGTTTAATTCATTCGCTTTTTTCGTGTTAGAAGAAAGCTACTACACCAAAAAATAGCTATATATCACTACATGAATCACCTGTTTAAGGGTTTCCGATTTTTTAAACATCTGCCACATATGCCAGAATCTGTTTGAACTTTTTCAGTGCTCGTTGAATTGGCACAAAGGATTCTTAGAAACGAGGCAAATGGCCAATTCATGTATACTGTTGACACCAATGAGAGCTGGTTCAAGTTCGACTTTATCTTTGCTGAGGCTTAATAGACACAATGTTTATGGAAAAAGTGCTCTGTGTGTTTATATTGAATTTCGTACCTATTGGAAGCGCTTAAAAGGGCAGCTACTGTAACGTGTTCTCAACTGTACGGACGCGGGAATACGATAGGGCTCCGCACTTTAACACAAGACTCTTCCCTTGTTACAAAGTTGACACACGTAACAACATAAATCACAGGACAAGACAAGTCTAGTGAATGGGGTAAACAGTAGCAGGGCATATCGGGTTGTTAGTAACCTAAATAAAAGCATTCTCTAACAATTTACCAGAGAAATGAGACACCACGCCCCGCAGTCTACTTCTCTTCTTCTATCGACGTTCGTTCACAAACGATACGTCAGTTTGGGGCACCTGTTGGCTTAACTTGGCGGCCTGGAGCCACGAGAGAGATTTCTGTCACACTCTGCAACTATGTAGTTTTGGTGTTGAAATCACCGTGGAAGACTACACAAGAAACAAGATAGGAGCAAGGAGGCTATAGAGAGATAAACCACCCTAAGAGGATCCGGAGGTAAGATTGTTAGCAGGTTGTTAAGTTGATAGCGGTAAAGAAACAAAATGGCGGGAGATCAATTGAACAAAAGGGCGCAAGACAGAAGAAAAAGCCTTCTAAATTTGTATATCCCCCGAAACATAATAATTTCTATTTTCATAAAGATTTGATGCCTACCTTACAATTGCCTACGATGATATCAATTAGCAATTGCCGTTCGATTGTGCTCTTTTTTCACGTTTTTCAATGTAGTCTCTTCTGGAGTGATAAAATTCTAAAATCTTTGTACATACTTAAAAGAATTAGATTATAGTGTGAGGAGCCAACCCCCTTGAGTGAAAAAAATGTTGAATCTTTTCCATCTGGTTTATGTACTTTCTAGTCATGTCACATGTTATATGACATGGTAATCTTTGGTTACGACTCTAAGCCAAGAGAGACATCAGTGGACACCCATCCCTCTCCCTCATAGTCTAGTGTGAAGTTCACGCTGTGAAATAGTTGCAGGGAAGGGACGCCGTGCACCGTTTGGTGTCAGGCACGTCCCGATCTTACATGTACACCAGTGTACCAAGGACGATATATAATGTCCTTGATTGTGCCAAACCGTCTCGCATATGGCGTCACATGACAGAGTCCAGACCTGGACCTGTAAGAGATGATGCGTACACGATAATCGTTCAGTGTCGTGATAGAAAATCTTCTTACGTACCTGTCTCTTACTTTGGGATTAGAACAGGTTGAAGTCTACCAGGATACAGGATACACTAAGCAGACACGTGAGAAGGGAATCTGATTGCTGAACCTCTCAGGTAAAAAAAATTAAACAGCAGCCCCGAAAATTACACGCTTGAACTTCGTTAACATGGAGGCTATGTCATATCATTTTGACGTACAAATGATATTTTCTCTCCTGAATGAAGCAGGTATTTTCATCTCAACGGTTAACATAGTTATGTCTGCGCAAACCATAAAATCTACCTTTCCATATCTACAGATGCAGAACGAATTTGAGCAAATACAAGATTAGTGATGTCTAGAGGACTACTAGTATTTATTTGCGATAGCACTAGCAGTGCCCTCGCTCGCTCTTTACTGTAGACACCATTCTGGGTAGATTTCAACAAGAGATTGTTGACAAAGAAACCTCTTAGTTACTTTCCGTTTGATCTTTGTAAGAAGACGTCAATCCGGCGTTATCAATACTCTCACGCCTTTTCTCCTAAATGCAAACGATACTGCTTTGTTGTTCGTCCCAAGAGTTATTACCCCCGATCAATCAATCAATGATCCATCAATCATCCAAGGGCGTGATCAGGAACTGGCTCTCTCCGACTTTCTTCTATTATCAAACATTCAACGTCATTTATGTAGTTTGCTTTGCAAATGGGATATATCTAGACTTGGTAAAGGAGATAAAAATGGGTTAGTATGAAGGCAAACTACGACAGTGGCAATAAATAATGCATGGACAAGACATCACCTGTAAGCTTCTGTAGCTTTGACTCTGTATTAGGTTGCTCTGAACCCAACAATACTTCCCATTAACCTTCTTCCCGTGGAGGCTACAGAAATTTGTCTGTCTCCGCTTTTCCATTAATAACAGAGTGAGGCGGTAGAAAAAGGGACATAGCCATTGTACATGTATGGGAAGCACTAATACCTTTGGTCTGGGATGAAAACGTGCCCATAAAGTCATATGTGATTGAGTGAAACTAGAGCTGACTAGGGAGGGGTTTCTTTTTCAATCAAGACAATAAAAACGTTGTTATATAAGAGCTTTTATCAGTACTTGGTATATAATGAGCTGTAAAGAAAAGAGGTAGACACTGTACGTTTTATGCTCTGTGCACAGACCAGATGGTACTTAAATGTCGGCCCGGCCACATATGTCCCCACAAACTGATTGCAGTTTGGGCATAGTAGTGCATGTGTCCTACAATCTTCAGCTGTCTCGTTACGGAAAACGTCTTGTAGGCGGGTATTTCTCGCTTGAAAGTTCTATGGCATCAAAATCTGATGACAAACTACGACGTATGTTACCGCGCCATACCGTTAAGTGTTGCCCAGGAACTACCAAGTAGTCATACGGTCAGATATTTGTTTACGGTTTCCAGCAATACTGTCTACAGTTCTCTCAATTAGCGTGCTCAATCGACAGGAACGACAGCAGCCCCGATGAGCATGTTGCCGGGCAGAAGGAGATTTCTCCGCATAGGGAATGTGGAGCAAAAGGACGATCCGGTCAAAAGCACGTCGGGCGGCCAGAGTCAGACTCTGCTGAAGATGCATGACGTGGTGGAGATGTTGGTTACCGGGGAGGTCTGCAACATCGCCGACAGTCCCTATCGTCCGTTCATGGTGAGTCTCTTCGTCTCTGCTTTTTGCTCTCTCTCTCCCTCCCTCTCTCTCTCTCTCTCTCTTTCTCTTTCTCTCTCCCTCTCTCTCTGTGCGTGTGCTTGTGTGTGAGTGCGCGCGTGTGTGTGTACACAGCATAACTCGAGAAACTGTGGCTGAATTACTTTTTTGATATGTGGGTAGGTGTTATTAAAACGAAGATCAAGTTCGATAACAGGCTTTCTAGCGGATTTCTGAGGCATTACATCAGAGCCTCTGTTAGTTTGCGTATCTCGTCTTCTAGACATGCTATGGCCGTGCGTGGCTTTTGTGTGGTACTTCACACTTGATGTGACATCAGATTATTAACAAATGAACATCAATAATAAAGTGTGTAAATCGAACATATGTGATCCCCTTCAAGAACGAATTTAATCTATATCCCTTTGCAACATATAATTGCAACATGACTTTGCATAATTATTTGTGGCAAATATGCAATTGTCCACACGGGACGTGTTCCCACCGGAAAGAAATGTCTTTGTATTAAAGCAAATATGAACGATGAATGAATCACGCTTTAAAACGATAATTACTACATCCGGTCATTACCAAGCTATAGATAGGCACTGGACGGTGAGGCTGCATGACTTGCAGTTTTTACCGGAAGGGTCAGGCCGCGTGGTCCTATCAATGACTCTTGTGTATCGGGTTTAAGGGTAACGTTACATTACGCAACGTAACGTCACATAGACGCGACTTACACGGCGAAATAAGAAGGGTGCGGCCGCGCGGTCCTGTCAATGAGGCTAAGGTTACACTACTCAACCTGACGTCAGGTATTTAAGTCCCTGTCATACATTACCAAATTGCACAGCGCTGCGAAAAAAAAACTTTTCAACAGCTATCTTAAAAATTCATCTGAAAACTAAACTAAAAAAATATTAAAAAAGATTATGGCTAATTAATGAATTACTTTAAAAATATTCTAACTTGCCTCCCCCCTCCAATCATGTTATGGTACAGCCCACCTGTCCCCCCTATTGTTGCTGATTAGGTGGTTGGGCCACTATGTTAAGTTCAAAGGTCATACAGATGACTTAAAAGTATACGACAACATTACATGAACCAAGCTTGCAACATTTCTGTGACATGAGCAACAACATGGAAGAGGGAACCCCTCGCACCAAACGCCGAGTGAGCCTGCAGAAGGAGTGGGGCAGGCTCCGGACGTTTCTAGGCGGCAGTACGCGGCTAGCCGCCCGCCAGCCCCACCGGCATAAGGACGGCGGGTTCACGAAGGTGGAGATGGAGGGTTTGCAAGTCTCCGAGATCGACGGAGAATGTCAGGAAGACCCGGAGACCGGCGACTGTATGGGGAAGAGCTGCCGACTTTTTGAAGTAGGTTATATTCATGTTAAACGCAACGCTGTCACAAATGACATTCACTGCACTGTGGAATGTGCAACCTGTCTTAAGAATATGGGCGGGGACACATAGATAACACAGTGAAAGTGTTAATTTTTTTTTCTCATAAAATTCTAAGTTTAGATACTGAATAAGAATGAAAAATGCATCATTGTCTCGAATTGTACGTAAACAGCACAGGTTATAATAGACATGAACATTAAGGAGTCTGGCAACAGTGATGTTGGAATAGTTGCAACATGTGTTTTGGTGTGCTTGTGTATGTATGTATGTGTATGTATGCATGCATGTATGTATGTATGTATGTATGTATGTATGTATGTATGTGTGCATGCGTGGTGTCCAACAAACATTCAACCAGTGCTTGCAAATATCCTAATCTAAATTACACTGCTTTTATTTGTACAAGTAGCAGCAACAGAGTAGCATTCTGTAAATTTCCGACAGCTCTGTAAACAGTCGGCGTGTTGGGCAGCTTAACTTTTATGTCAGGACAAAGGACTTAATCCACTAATAAATCATTGACCCGGGGACATCTCAGCGATGGCTGAGCTGAATATCATATTCTCTTAACCTCATCAATTTTTCAGGTAAAAATCGTCACTAAAAGAAATTATCCGGCCTAACTTGAGCATGATCGAGTTGTGTATTTTATCAGTATCGATTTTTATGTGTCTTTCGTTGGTAATTTTTTCTCGAAGCAAATGTAAGGTTTCGGCTAATCAGAGATCGTTGCTAAAGGCAAAACAAGTGTTTCTGAAAATGCTGTTGTTTGTGGTGTTATGGTATCACTGTTGTAATACAATAAAGTTCTACATGTGTATCCAAGCAGATGCAGAAAAGCAAAATTAAAATCGTCATATTCTCAGGTCTATACAATTATAGAGAATCTGTTTGAACAGTGAAACCAGTTTAGAAAACGTTACGATTTTTCCACTCTACATCTGCTTGGAGATTAGGATTAGCAGCAAAGCTATTTTGGGTGTTTTGTATATTCTTCTATGCCTCAAACAGGCTTTAACTTAGGTAGCCTTTTGGTGACTTACAAAAACAACTGTCAGTTCATTGACGTATGCTAACAGCTACAGACGGCTAATTGAATTACACGTGTGATAACATCTAAACCGTCGGTAAAAGGTCCACCGTGCCAGGACATGTATACACGGGTCTTTCGTCTGTGTCATGTTACCGAAATACCGCGGAACAACTGGTTTTACCACTTCTAGTAGGGACTTAAGAAGAAGAGCTTACATAAACATATGAAGAAGTAGTTTTCCTGTGAAAACAAGTATGGAATGTGTTTGTGTGAGAGGGAGGGGGATATGAACATCAATTAAGGTAGCATATGCATCTAAGCACGTCGGCATAACGAACTGCATCTGCACGAAACCCAAATTTTTCACGGCTTTCGTTCGGTCAACCTTGCAGAAGAATTTTGCCCGTTGGAGACTATATCGTTTCCGACACAATATAGTTGAAAACTGTACACGGGGGTTCCATCCTTTTAAGTATTAAAATACGCTAACATTAACCTGGATGACATCCTATTTGTATACCGAGTATGGGAGCCCCGGTATACAAATAGGATGGCCAGGCTACGCGAATACAACCTTAAACAAGACGTTTTGCCAACGTGCTATGAACAATACATTACGGGTTTCGCTTAGGCACAGAAGGTTTTGCGGACGTACTGGTCACATTGATACGTATCTATACACTAGTGTGACTAAGGTGAGGTGGGCGTTAGAAAGTCTACAAAACTATCCCTAAAACGGTCCCTTAAATCGTCCAGTAATCCAGAGGCTTTGTTACTGCCAAGTGCCAACAATTTTGCTTTAGAACCCGTCAGGCGAGCCATTTTCCTGCTGCGTAGCGCAGGCTGGAAGACTGTCAGCTGCGGCTCGAGTAGCTGTAAACAGAAGTCTGTTTGACTTGCAAACGCGCGCGGGGACAGTTTACACATGTACATTTCCTACAAATGGATTGTTATATCAAACAGAAAGAAAAGACATTCTGTATTAATGCCATTCGTCACAGTGAAACGCTTACGTGCACACACACACACACACACACACACACACACACACACACACACACACACACACACACACACACACACACACACACACACACACACACACACTCACACACATACGCACAAACACACACACACACACACACACTGTTTGACTTGCAAACGCGAAACAGTTTACACATGTACACTTCCTACAAAGGGATTGTTATATCGAACAGAAAGAAAAAAAAACATTCTGTATTAATGCCATTCGTCACAGTGAAACGCTTACGTGCACGCACACACGCACACACACACACACACACACACACACACACACACACACACACACACCTGCACACACACACACACACACACACACACACACACACACACACACACACACACACACACACACACACACACACACACACACACACACACACACACACACACACCTGCACACACACACACAGACAGGTGACCTTGTATAATTCGCCACGGGGTAAAGTAAGTTCAATTTATTTGATAAGTGCGTCTCGTGATTCAGCAAAATATTGACGCGGAAATTATGCTATTAAATTCTGCAAACTTGCGCAGCGCTCACTAATGGGCAGGAAGAGCAATTATTAAGTTCAGTGACTTTGTTATGAGACTTGGACAGACGGTTTTGTGTCAACAGTGATTTGGCAAACACCATTACGGAATGTTGACTTCAACATCAGCCATTATAATTGTGTAATTAGCCAGAAAGGGTGCGGACCTGACTGTGTTACCTGCACGTGTTAAAGGTGGCAAGGCGGTCTTGCGCTTAATGTTGCTGACTCAAAATATGAAGGTTGTCAGCTCGAATCTTTGGCAGGCCCCGGTGCTGTGTCCTTGGGATTCGACACCTATTTGCTCGATCGAATCAACGACAGGTAAAATGACTACATGTACCTAGCTTTGGGTAAGGACACATAAAAACGGAGGGAGTGAGTTATAATACTAGTAATTTGGAGACTCTTTATAATAGTTACAGATGCGCCATGACAAGAAAGGCAATGATAGGGACTAGCCATATCAACGACTTTTTTCACGGTGTAAATATGAATTTTGTACGAATGACTTTCCCCGACGTCAGAAAATGTCCCCCACGACAGCTCCGAAATCCACGTCAGCTTTGCGCGTGTGTAAAGCCGAGCTGTCGGGCTCGCGACGTCGGGAAAAAGATCTAGGTCAGGGATGTTGTTTCATAAGATTTTCCTTTCATCGCCATCTATTCAAAAGAACAATGCAGAACTCTGAAATATCCCCGAAAGAACAGATTACAAATCCTCCCTGTTTAAGAAAATAAACAATACCGAAGTCCCTTGGGGTCATTTTTTCTGTCCACACATCATGACTCTGCAATACTGTACGGAAACATCATCCCAACCAAATCGTATGTACAAACTTATGACGATGTGTAAGGAAGACTTACAAATTGCAATTCCATTTGCTACCGCCGGCACTTGATGACTTCATGTGTTTGCCATTTCAGAAATCGGCCTTATGATTGAAACATTATCGACTCAAAAAGTTTACCTAAAAATTCATCTCTGAGCGGTTTCTACGGTGGCAAGGCTAAAGCAAGCTGCTCGGCCAGATGGATCCTGCCTTGCAACCGTAGAAGCTGATTGGAGATTATAAAAATGCCAAAAACTAGAATTCTTTGACTCCCCACCTTCACCAAAATAGTTATGATCGACTCCGTAATTTCCATGGCAGAACGTCACATTAAGATTCAGTTTCTGATGCTTTCTCCTTGTAATCCATTCATTATTCCCACATGTATATTACGTTCCCATCTTCAGGATACATAATGCTAAGTGCACAAGATCAGGAAGTAATTACGAGTTTAAAGCGAGTATTATACTACATTTTATGGACTTATCCATTACAGGATGCACGATGATAATGTCCAGATGGATTTCCGATGTAATGTACTCTTTGTTATCTAAGCCTTCTATTATGACATTGATGTAGCAGGTTATTTGAGCTTTCGCCCCATAGATAAAAGTAATACCTGTTATTGTCCCATATGTACATGTAATACGTGTATTAGCTTCGCGCAATCCCGTATTTAATCCTTTCTAAGAGGGCACTTCGTCTTGATCAAATATTTTTGCGTGACGTAGCGTTTTCCCAGCCAATCAGAAACCTGTTGCGCAAATATTTGAGAAATCACGTTGGCCGCTGGGAGTTGTAAAGACGAGGCAAACAGGGGATGTTGTCCTTGGAAGAAACGCATTAAAGTGATTAAATGCAGTGATATCCTTTTGAGAAGAGACCACGCCTCATTGCTATATAAGACTGGCGCACAGTAAATACATTTTCAGAAAACACTGTTCCAACAGAGAACTTCATTTCAACGTATGCAATTCACTGGCAATCTCGATTTCTTGTACTCTGTGACCACAACGCTCCACACCAAGCTCAAGACAAGTGCATCTTCTACAGTAACGTTTAGGCCAACTTCGACACTGGTTACTAAGTCTGAGATCTTCTTCGGCACGGTTCCTTCCGTGGGAGGGCATTGAAGGCTCTTTACCCAGGGCTGCCTGCCTGTCCATGTACATAGACCAGCACCTGGCTCCTTGCGCCTTTCCATAGCCGGGTGACTGTAACAGGGCCAGTGTACTGGCTAGCTCGTCGGCTCCAGGGGCAGCCTGTGCCCAAGGAAACCTCAAGACAGACTCCCCTCAGATAGACCCTGAAAGTAGACCCAGGGAGCCAACTCTAGAATCGGGGCTTGTGACACGATGTCCAAGACGGCTCGCCTGTTTAAGGACAGCGGGAAGGTGGTCTCCACCCTGTCGGGCTGGTGGCGACCAGCGAAGGACAGCACCGCGCCGCCGGCGGGCGACTCGCTCAGGAAGCGGGCCGGGAGTAAGACCGAGCTGGCGGTGATCGATCTAGAGTGCGACCTGCCGCACGGAGAGGGAACTGAAGAGGAGGAGGAGAAGCATGATTTGAGCACGTTTGCGGTTAGTCGATGCTAGATTCTTTTTTCCATTTGTGGTCAGTAACGATGGTGTTACGCCGAATGGTGGTTATACCGGCTATACCGATACATATACAGATGCGGCGTGGCTTTAAAATTGACTAAGACCATTGATGACGGCTTGATTTATAAGGGAGTGAAGAATTGGTATGTTTTTTTTAGCTTGTGTGCCATCCTCTGTGGTTTCCGCTGGCTCCTTAAAGTCGCTGGGTACGGAGGATGGCACCCAGGCTATATGTTTTCTGGGTTGGAACAACTTGCTAGTTTAGCCACAATAGGGTAATATTTGCTCAAAGATGAGGAAATCTTACCGCGGGTTCACTCTCCTGGTCCTATTCACCCTATTTTTTTTTTTTACAAATTCTACTATCCATACCCCTGCCCCCATGGATCTGGCTGATTGTAGACCGATAGACCGATATTCAAATAGACCGATATGGCCCACACTCGATAGTTGCCAGGTAGTCGCGCGGCTTTGTTCTTCTTCCAGGCGGAACGATTTTCTTACCCGACCATTTGAGCACACGTGTTGGGGATGGGGACACACAGAACGATTCAAACACAATCATCTGCTTGAAAACTACAGCGATTTACTTAAAGAATCCGTTCAAGTCTTAGAAACATATCCTTAAGCTGGCCAACAAATATCTAAGAACCTTGTAGTAGCTTTAGTGAATGCAGGGTTCGGGCATAAGCCAGAAGACCTTTTCTGTCTTTGTCTATTAGTATTACGTCTTCTTTATCTGGTTACGCGAGCTTCAATTGAAGCGGACAATACACAGCTTAATGGGCAGCTGAATACTTGTCGTCACGGCTGGATTCACACGGAACCGAACAAATCAACCAAGTCGTTACAATTGTCCGCAACCCGCTGCTCGACTCATACCCTTAGCCAGGGAAACGGTTCTACGAGAGAGCGAGGCTTCGGTATGTCCCCAGAGGAGAAACGTCCATATGTGTATACTGTTGCCCTCTTAACATCGCATTATGCGGATCCAGCACATAGAAAATTCGGAATCTTTCGTCTTCCACTGTTTCAGAAGTCAAACCCAAGTTCGAATTTAGAGTTAGCATTTCGACTAGAAAGTTCACATGTTCTTTTTCTTTTTCGTCTTTTTCGTGTAACTTAAAGTTTCGGCAAACCTTCGCCTATTTGTCAGTATCTTTTCTTGGTACATTTTTAGCCGCATCATTCTTCTCCTTTATTCAGAAATTTTCTTACCCCGGTCGTATTTTCTCCGGTCATTTTCACGCACGTTTCCACTGGTAGAAATGCCGAAGAGGGCAAAGCATTTGTTAAAGCTTATGATTTAGTATACTACTGATATGTACCGTTTGCCTTTTGTCAGTCTTTTTTGTCAGTACCTTTTACACGCACCATGTTTCTTTTTTTATTCGGAAAAATCTTGAACCCGATCACATTTTCTGTGGTCAGCGCGCATTTCCATTTGTAAGAAATGAGCCGCTCCTCTTTCTTTACATTTCCACACGGCCGGATGGAGCCGAGAGATGTTCACGGTCTATGCTACATTAGACCCGAACGCCACGGTGTACGCACCTCTCGGCCATGGGAAACTTCGTGTCACACAAACGTGGACAAATACAAAGGCACAGAAGTTGAACTCGACAACGAAGGAGGCCTGTTGGCTATCTAACAGTGACTCGGCAGAATTGGAAACCATCTGCTTTAAGAAAACGGCAAAGAAACAAAACAACCGTGTGATCAGTGACGTCAATAACGTTATAAAGACCCTTCTCTTCTGCTAACCTGTTTAGTCCGCTGCGCAACTGTTCTGCTGAAAGGTGGCGATGAAGAACCTTCTCCCAAACCGAGGGCATTTTTCGGATAGTCGTGCAAGCGTAGCTGTCCTGTCACAGAAAGGGCTGTCCTAGATCCTAACTTGTCGGCATGTTTTGGTTTTGTCAGAGTCCTGCCTGAAATTCTACAGCATAGGTTGACCTACGACGAATGTATCCACGCCGTTGCCAATCGCTATAAACAAGTGAGTCCCACATTGAGCGACGTCAGTGAAGCAACAGAACAGTCTTGGGCTCTTGTCGTGTCGGAAGACGGTCCACAGCTTTCTCCACTTCTCCTAGCTTCCGTCAGTACCTGGACGTCGCTCTCAACAGTTCGGAACAGTGCTGGCCGAGCAACTACAAGCAACGACTTCCAAGTGAATAGTGGGCTCACAAGGCGGACAGAACCTACCATACGACAGCCCTTTTTCGTCTGCAAGCCTGTTTAGTTCGTTGCGCAACTGTTCTGCTGGTGACTAAGTGCCTGGTCGCGAACTGAGGACATTCTCGGTATACTCGAGCTCGTGCAAGCGTCTTACCAAATTCAGCTGCTCTGTTACAGAAAAGGATAACTGTGATCCTTGTCGGCGGTTCTTTCTGTCACAGCCTGACTAAAAATTATACAACGTACAAAAGTGGCCGCGGAGTAACAGATCTAACAGTGAACGGTAGTGAAACTACGCAAAATCCACCAGGCGACAGCGATGCCTCTCTGGGACAGTGTACGTAAGTTAAAGCCTGACATACGACCGCTGTCGTGCCCGAAGGACGACTTGACTCTGATCGAGTTGGAGTCGCAGCCGGCTATCTCAGCACTGGCGGCGTGGACGTCGCCTGCACTGTGTATCTCGGACGAAAAACTGAACGAGAGCGTTTTCCCGGTTGGTATACATTTGTCGGCAGAAAGATTAGTTTGGTAACCATGCCATCGGTAGCTCCCCGGTATCTCTGCGGTGCTGGGAGGGTTGCCCTCCCGCCCAAGTAAATTAGCGCACGGCAGGGAATTTTTAATCATTATCGTCCAAATTTGAGGCCTTTCAATGAGTATTTGCCTACTTTGGCGTTTGTTTCTTTCCATTTTCCTTTGTTTGATAAACACATGTCAGTAACCATGCTTCACCCTGAACCATGCTCAGGCACGGTTTTAGATAGTCCATGGTATCCAGAGCCGCTGGGTCAAATACATGTTCTTGAATACGCGGAGACGTGTGTGTGTGTGTGTGTGTGTGCGTGTGTGTGTGTGTGTGTGTGTGTGTGTGTGTGTGTGCGTGCGTGCGTTCGTGCGTTCGTGCGTGCGTGCGTGCGTGCGTGCGTGTGTGTGTGTGTGTTCTTAAGTCATGAACTTTCCACAGCTCCTGTATATTCACGAGAACTCCGCTGGTCTGAAATCTCCGGTTTCTTTGTTTAAACTTGAACATGTTCTCGTTACTTCCCAGGTCGCTGCCTCGGGACGACTGGCGGACTTCACTCAGCTGTGTCAGCACGACCCCGCCCGCCTGCAGTCACGTGACCGGAAGGGCGCTACCCCGTTACATCATGCGGCCGGACATAACCAGCTCTCCATCATGGAGTACATCCTCAGGATAAACAATGGTAAGGGTCTTGGTATGAAAGTTCATCTGAATTGGTAAAATTCATGACCAAAATTTTTGTTGTTGAGTTGGAGACCAGTTCAATTGAAATTCGTCAATGGTAAATAAGGGTCCTCCATGGAGGTTAGACATCCAGGTAGACATGAGATACGCACATACATAAGCAGACAGTTATCCAAGTGGGTAGATTTTGAAAACGTTTAGACGTTTCAAGTTGCATCCGCTACTTTTCGTCGATGATGGCAATATTCTTGATGATTATGGAGTGTTTTTATACACATCACGTATTAATGAATTCACTGTCTGGCCAATGGATGGAGTTGATGTTGTCATCTTATTTTCTCCCTAGGTGGGTGGGGTGTGCTGTGTAAACCTGGTGACAAGAAACCTACAGGTGAGACCAAAATCTTTTTAGAAATCTCTTTCGAAAAAAAAGTTTTATCAAGAACATTCCTCCTACAATTTAAAAGATACGATTCTCCCACAGGCTATTTAAAGTCGTTGGAAGATAACAAATGAGGGACACAGTTTACCAGGTACAGTCTGAAAACTGACCTTTTATTGTATATATATATATATATATACATATAGAACCGTGCCTATCTAGTTCTATGCATGAGTTAGAGATCAGGCACTAGTTTGGATATTCTCTGCGTATCGAAGAACGTAGATTTTCCCCAGGCACGGTAGTGGATACGCGTGGACTAACCAGAACCGCATGGATCGTAATATTTACGGTTCTGAATGTAACACCTTTGCCTGTTCGCCCTGCAGTGGTTGACATAAACGCCCAGGACCACCACGGGAGGACGCCGCTCCACTGGGCGGTGAAGGAGGGCCATCCCAAGGCGGTGGAACTCCTGCTGCAGCACGGCGCCGACTCGGAGGTGCAGGACGAGGAACAGGCCGCGCCCATCCACACTGCCGTGGAGACCGGGCAGGTGGAATGTCTGAAGGTAAGGGCAGCTTACGCGGTGAGAACTTGATCAACAAAACCTTAAAAAGATTGTTCTGTATGTAGGAAATTCGTTGAGCGATCGGTCATTTTTTTTGTCGCTCAGAAGTCAAGTCATACCAAAGACTTTAGGCTATAGCCCATTGCTGTAGTGATTACACAACTGTGTGGCCTATGGGCTACTGAACAGGAGATGGGCGCCGCTCTATGTACCATATACAGGTGCGGAAAGGAACTTTGCCTTGACTTAAGCAATGGTCGCTGCCTCGAGTAGAAAGCGGACACTAATAGCATAACACCTTACCAAGAACATGGCCTTACGATGAAGATGATGTTTGTATTCCCCAGGCTTTGCTGAACCATCCCGACAGGGTGAACGTGAACCTGCCGGGCCATGCCGGGGCGATACCACTTCACTACGCCGCGTGGGGGAACAACAAGCAGTGCATGAAGCTACTGGTACGTGTGATTTTTCATCGGGTGTCGTGGACTTGGTTTGTACACATGGCAAAATACCACAGCGAGGGCACAAACCATAAATACGTCAGGTCATGATAATTTCTTATCTCCAAGCAGATCTCTTAGTGGCCTCAAAGACAGTATCGAACTGGCCATGCAGTATCCATTTGCCACACAGTATCCATTGGCCACCAGATCTCGGGTGGCTAATGGATACTGTTTGGTCAATTCGATACTGTATTTGCGGTCACTGCTTGAAGATTAGTTGGAAGGCCATCGACATCAGCGGCGCTTTCTGGATGGCCTTTGTATTGCCCAGAGTTGAAATTTCAATAAAATAGAAAACTTAAATCTCTACGATTTACTTAATATCTGTATGAACGGACGTACCTTATTTCCGTAACCGTTTGAGTCAAGCACAATATATCGTCCCCCCTCCCCTCTCTTGATTTGATCTAAATGAAGTGGCGTTGATGCCGTAACTGGCCCAGTCTGCAAACGACAGATGTACACGTACGTGTGCCCGTTCACAGATAGAGAACGGCGCCTGGCCCTGTATCCAGTGTAGCGCCGGCCACACGTCCATTCACGCGGCGGCCATGAAAGCTCAATGCGGAACGCTGGAGTATCTCATAGAATTAGGTAAGGGACGAACGAGTTGGGGTGGTGGGACTGCTGTTCTCTATCTGGAAACAGGCAACCGCTGACTGTAAACTGCACCTGTAGAGCGGCAAAAGTTTAATCTGCAACCTCCAAGTCCAATCAGATCTCAAGGAGGGCAGTATATCAAATGGGCAAGGCATTATCAAATTGGCAATACAGCACTAGTACCAAATTGGTCAGGCAGTATCCATTACGCCACAGCATCGCGGAGATGTGGTAACTCGGTGGCCAAGTTGATCGTCCCCTGTCTGCGAATGAATCTGCTTGGAGAAAAAGTTACCAAAATGAATGCCTAACATAGACCATGAAGGTAAAAAAAAACCTCCTTGCATAGACCGCCCTCTGTAACACTCATCCCCACAACGGCCGTTCTCCCCAAGGAGTTTTGCCGGTGCAGTTTACTGTTGACAAAATGCAAGCCTGCTTGCTTGTTGTTTGTCTGATTGCAGATAGAAAACGGCGCCCTTCCATGCTTGCGGTGTGACGGAGGGTGCACGTCCATTCACATGGCTGCCATGAAAGCTTGTTGCGGAACGCTGGAATATCTCATCGAATTGTGTAAGCTATTGGGACCGGGCAAGGAACGATCGTACGGGATGTTAAGAAAAGAAACTGAAGTAGAATCTCACGAAGAGACATTGATTAAGACCTGGAAAGCAAAACAACAGTAAAGAAGCATAAAATCATGTGAGAAATGTTGTAGAAATGATGGAAGATTGTCATAGATGACAGCCTGTGTGTCATCTTCCGTAGTTACCGCCGGCTACCTGCTGTCGTGGCTGGCTACCACGGACAGCGACAACAAGAAGCCGACAGTAACCATGGACGATGACACCCAGGCTACACTGACTAATGATGGCATCCACTTTCTTTTGCCAGTGACCGAGAATCATTCGCAGTCATTGGTGAAAGAGGGTGGACTGTACCTCTCTTTAGAGAAATTGTCCAGTAGCTTTATTATGTTTACATGGTAACCAGTGTTGTAGCAGATGTTGTATTGTGTGGATTACACTATGTAGCAAGTGGCAGGATGGAGAGGCTGGTCACCATATGAATGCATGCGTAGGAGTAAGACAAATCAGTACTTTGTTAGGCTAGACTGTGTGGGGTAAATATTGTACAATTGCTTTGCAAATGGTACGTTAAAAGTTTCTAATGTACTTTGTATTACGTAATACTGCTTTTGTTCTCCACAGCTGAAAATAAGGGTTACAAGCGAGAGGACCTTCTGTCCTTCAAAACAAGCAGGACCAGATGCCGCTACACGCTGCCGTCAACGGCGGGAACAAGGAGGCGGTGATCAGGCTGATCCGGATAGGCGCCAGGATAGACGCCAAACAGGTACTTCTTACCCATTACTTCTTCTGTGAATAATTTCACCAGGTTGGTGAATGATTGGATTCCTTATTCATAGCCACTTATTTAGCAAGAGACAACGATTCAATGACTATCAGCCATCTTCATCAGGGCATTTATGACTGGTTGCCTGATGAAGATGACTGACAGTCATTGAAACGTCGGCTCTTCTTGAACAGGTGGTTGTGACTTTGAGGAACTTTGCTACCCATTGCTTCGTGTTCTTGTTCATGTAATGTTAGACTTGATTGCTTAACTATTACTGCTTAGTACCACAGGACTTCCAGATCTTCCTTGGTGCAAGGTTCAGGCAGGATGGGGCAGAGAAGGAGTTGTCTCGTGGTCTGCTCCTGCCGACAATCGTATGCCGTTCTTCCATATGAAAGTAGATCCGACTGCTCACTTACCATTCCACTTTTTCCACTCCCCTCCCAGGATGACGAGTCGACCCCGATGCACCTGGCGTCCTCGCAGGGCGCACTGGACATCATCAAACTGATGATGGAGACGGCGGACAAGAACAGGCAGACCATCCACCTCCGCGACATCCAGCGGATGACTCCTCTGCACAAGTGAGCCCCTGGTTACATACATTGTACGATACGATCGTCATGCGATCTCAGTCAAACTTCTTGAACGCTTTCTAGGGATAGTCATCGGTGTGTCTTAAGCTTGCAAAATTCAGCTTCCTTTGATCCTTGTAGACCTTCTAACCGCGCCGTAAGAGACAAATTGAGCTAGCACTGGTGCCAATCAGTGGTGGATGCATTTCGTTTCAAAAACGTGATGTGCTGAAATCGGCACCACCAATGCATTTGATTCATAAGCCACATACAAGAAGGCACTAACTTTGCTTAGTACTCATTTTGCTTTCTCTGCCTTTATCAGGGCGGCCATGTTTGATCACACTGGCACTGTGGAGTACCTGTTGGAAGAGGTAAGCTACAAATCCGTTCGTAGCAAAAACGTATATCTGTAGAAAAATCTAATGTTCTTAGCAAAATTATATATCTGTAGCAAAAAATTATGAGTTCTTAGAGAAATCTTTGGATGTTCACCCCGTTATGGCAAAAGAGGCTATCCAGGAGTAGCAAAGTTCTTTGATCATGGCCACTTGATTAACAAGAACCGACGTTTTGATATCCGTCCTTTGGAGGATGGAGACGACCAACACTACAGGCTCGAAAAAGCTATGGGACATTCATTTACATTTACCTTATTCATCCCTTTAGGGTGCTGACGTGAACTGCACGGATAACGAGGAGCGGTCCCCGCTGCTGCTGGCGGCCTCCCGCGGCGCCTGGCAGACCGTGAAGCTGCTCCTGTCCCGCGGGGCGGACGCCAACCTACGCGACCTCAACAAGCGGAACTTCCTGCACCTCTCCATACTAGGGGGAGGAGGGGTGGCCACGTTTCACGGCGAGCTGAGCACGGTAACTGTCTACTTATTATCTCCGTGTACAGAGGTATTGCTATCGGTATGTGTGTGTGTCTGTCTGTCTGTGTCTGCGCGAGCGTAGTTTTTTTTTTAATGCAATAGAGAAGACCTGTGGAATGGGAAATGGTGTTACCGGAAGGTTGAATTGTACAAAGTTTACCTCATTCTCTATCTTCAGTTTCGTGCTATATTTAAGAGTGTTGCCTAGTGAAAGCTAGTGGAAAAGTGCATATACAGAATCGGCGAGAAATTTACAATAAAAACGAAATTCACAACAACTCGAAAAAGTTCATGGTGTGAGAAATCGTCAATTTCTTGATGTTTATCATTTGTTTGCCTTGCAATCCCACCCTTCATCCTGTATCCCAGGGAAGCCTGAGAGACCTACTGGACGCCAAGGACGAGTTCGGCTGCACGCCGCTGCACTATGCCTCCGAGCAGGGCCACCTGAAGAGTATCGAGTTACTCCTCCAGCAGGGGGCGAGCGCTAAGGTCAAGAACAACGAGAAGCAGTCAGCACTGCACTTCGCGGCTAAGTACGTGTCAAATCCTTCGTGTTGACGGCTTATGTACACGGGAACTCGTATACTTGTCGAACATAGCTAGAAAAATTTCCTAGGGAATATGAACCTGTAAGTACTGTATATAGTGTCTGTCTGGAAGATTATTTCTTCAACTTCACGGAGGTAAACTGGTTCGTATTCACTTTCTTTCATTTATTCTAAACTTTCAGATTAGGATTTTTTGTGTGTGGATAGAGATACATAATGTTAGAAAGTGAGGACCCAAAGTACAGAACGCCAACAGAACGCCGAAAAAGATTATACAGCAAGGCAAAGTCATAATCAAACAAAACGTGCTTTATGAATCCTTTGCATTCAACACGTCTACAGATACGGGCGACTGAACACAGTCCGGAGTCTGCTGAACAGTCCGCAGGGCCCGAATATCATCAACGACCCGGACGGGCTGGGCGACACCGCGCTGCACATGGCGTCAGCGAACGGGCACACGGCGGTGGTCAAGTTCCTGCTGCAGAAGGGAGCCTTCATTCACAAGTATGTCATCAGAAAGTTCGTTTTTGATAACGCAGTTGCTAAGTGCAATGCCAAGAAATGGCTTTTAGGCACCGAACTTAGTTTGGGGTACTGAAACATCATCTCATCATCTATATCATCATCATCATCCTGTGGTCGCTGGTGACCCCAAATGGAAAATGCGTTTTGTTCCGATGACAACCAAGATTTACAGGTTAAACAAGTTGTTTCATGATCACTTATGTCTTTATGTCAGATTGGTACACAGCGACATAATTTATGGTCCGTTCATATAGCCACCTCAAAAGCGGCCTCGTCCGCTTCTGGAACTTCACGGACTTCGGTCATTTATTCGGTGGTTATGGGAACTGACCATGAATTGTGACACTGTATACACCTCACGGCGGGACATTAACCCTGTAATAACCATTCCATGCGGTCTCAGGTGCCAAGGCGGCCGGACAGCCCTTCATCTGGCCGCACAGGGAGGTCACACACAGACCATGCGGGTTCTGCTCAGCACGCATGCGCACCTGCTGAACCAGACTGATAAGGAAGGGGTGAGTTGATTGGTCGTTTAAATTTTATGTCGTCATCGTATTGCACTAACAATTGGTAATGAACAGCAAGCCAACGATGAAAACACAAGAAGTGGGAAGCCTTTTCATCCATCAAATATTCCATCCTAATTGTTTGCACGTCTACTGACAAAAAGAGAACTGTGCCTATCTAGTTTTATTCCTGAATGGGTTAGGGTTAGGGTTAGGATCAGGCACGGTTTTGGATAGTGTCCACATATCCAGGAGCATAGATCTTGCCCCAGGCACGGTTCTGAACACGCGTGGACTATCTAGAACCGTACCTGAGCATAATCCTAGATAAAGTACGGCTTTCAATATGGCTTAATGTGGGTTTTGACACGACCGGACAGAACACCGCGTTACACCTAGCGGCGAGAGAGGGAAAGCCATCCGCCGTGCTGTTCCTGATGTCTGAGGAAGCCGAGTTCAAGTTGAACAACAACAAGCAGACTTTCTTCGAGGACGCCATCGAACTGAAGAACAGGGACGTCGCCAATGCGATTGTAGGGCATGATAGGTGAGTAAACAAACAAACAAACAAACAAACAAACATTTGGGAATGCCCTAATCTAATTAGCTTTTGGGAAAAATAAAAACTTGGTACTTTCAAAAAACAGGTCAACATATTTATTTAAATAGTTTTATCATTATCTTTGGAAACCTGCTTCCTAGCACCCCTACAATCCAAAATTTAATTATTCTGTTAGCAAAAATCTTTATATACAATAATAGAAAGTCCAACAAAGTAAATTTTGAATCCTTTCTTCGATATATAAATTTCTTTAGAAAAGTTGAATACTATATTGCTTTAAGAAAAGAAAAGGTGGAAAAACATCTGGGAAAATGGGGCACTTTTGGTGAGTAGAACTGTTGTGGTTAACTTTTATTAAAAAAAAACCAAAAAAACAAACAAACAAACAACTATGTACTACTATCATCAAGGCGCTAACCACATCCTGTCAACGATACTGAATATTTTACAGATCGAATTTTACAAATAGATAGATAGAAAGCGAGTTTGTTCTCGTTTTGTGTGCGATGTGTTATGCTGTCTTCTTAAATCACACTAACACATCTTACATCATTTACATGCATTAAAAATCGGTAACTCAATGACTGCTTAGTGATCGTTTTTCCCCCGCACAGAGTGTACAGGTGAAACGTAAAATCTGGGAAATGATGTTCCATGCCTTGTCTCTTTGCAGGTGGACGGAGGCTCTGACTACGTTCAGCCTCGAGAACGTCCCGCCGATGTACAGACTCATCGATGTCCTGCCAGACATCTGCATGGTCAGAAATATGCCTATTATTTTATAAATTGTTCTTGTATGACAGTCTACAAGTTCTAGATCACACAAAGCCCAGCGGGACAATCATTTCATGTTCATTCTATACATTTGCAAGGCTTTATTTAAAGAAAGAGACTCTTGTTACGCAACCAAGTGTTTGTTGGTGACTTACGCCAGTCAGTTGCAATTCAAGCTTTGTATAGTTTCATCATAGCAACCATCTAACTATCAGAATTACATGGCATCTATCGTCAGGTATATAATTCCCACCAAGCCTTGACGTTGTTTGATGTTTCCCGCCTTACAGAATGTGCTGGACAAATGCCGCACAACGGCCACTTGTGATGAGAAGAGCCCGGAATTCTGGGTATGTGATAAACCATCAACTTGTGTGAGAAGTTTCACCAAGCAAAGCACCATGGGATATCTGTTTGATATCTGTTTTCAAATTAGTTTGATGATATGATAATGAGGTTTTTTTTTCTAATGACAGATCAAGTACAGGTACAACTTCCTGCAGTGTCCCCTTGAGTGGCGGTACAAGATGTTAAAGGAAGGAATCAAGGATGTTCCTCCTTTAGCTGTTTTAAATGTAAGTTTGCATATTTGTTTATTTCATTTTTATCTATTTTTTTCTTTATAACTATACCATAAAAGTAGTTAGTAGAATAATAATAGTAAATATTTAAAAATAACCGTGTAGTTATTCATCCAGTAATTAAAAAACATTTCCCCTTTTCAGAAAATGGTTAATGCCAACCGTGTTGAGCTGTTGTCACATCCGGTCTGCATTAACTTCCTGGATATGAAATGGTGAGTACGCCACTTCCGTTTGGTAGCATAAAAGTTTAAAACCATGCTACAGCCTTGAACTGAAACGCCGAATGGCAGCTAGCCCCAAATCTGTCGTGAAAGGGCAAGAAAGGGTCCCTTGGATATTTTTCCATAGACACAAGTATAGTGAACACATATCCACGTACACCAGATTTTCTTGGTCCCTAGACACTCTTTTCTTCTTCATCCTAATCCATTTTGTTTTCTCCATCCAGGAACGCGTACGGTCGATTTGTGTACCTCAGCAACCTGATCATCTACGCCATCTTCCTCATCTTCCTGACGATATTCGTGGCCACCGCGGCTCACCCTACCAGCCACCACGACTTTGTGAGAGGCGCCGCTGGCGGAGCTGCCGGGAACAACAGCAGTGCGAATTACAGCAGTGTGAACGGGACCAGCGTGAACGGCAGTAGTAGCGTAAACGGAAGCATAACGGCTCTGCATAACATCTGCCAGTTCAAAGAGGTGGGTGCTGTATCTAGAACCATGCTTTATCCAGAACCGTGCTTAATCCAGAACCGCGCTTTATCCAGAAACGTGTCCAGGTAAGGGTTCTGGATAGTCCGAGCGTATGTTCTAAGATACGCCACGACTATCCAGAACCGTGCCCTGATCCTAATCCTAACCAATCAGGCACAGAATTATATAGGCACGGTTCCTGACACGATAGTGGGTAATTCAGACCGTATCTTGACGTAAAGGCGCGGTTACATTCGTCGAAGGTCATCTTATGATCTTAGCCCTACAAACGTGCCTAAGAATTTTCAAGCAGGTTGTGGTATATCCAACCACTGAAAAAGACCTAAGACACATGTAAGACAGCTGCAGTTTGCAGCACATTGCACAACTCTTCCATGGCATGATTGCATTCACTTTGTAATGGTACAACCGGGTCTTAGTTATGACAGTTTTCCAGCACACCAAGAACTATATTAAGTTGTATGTGTAATATAAACGACTAAGCACATTTAAACATTAGATTTCATTTATCAATACTTAAGTTTTAAATGATTTCTTTCTAAGTGTACTGAAATTTGATTCCTTTCGTTCAGTTAAGCGGCTTCCAATGGATATCTCACGAGCAGGTAACACTGGAACGTGAATGTGGATGTTCATGTTTGCACCGTCTGTATCATAAAATCACAACAACGCGTGTTTGTCCTACATTTCGTCTGAATCTGCATCTTTCGGGCATTATGTTACTGAGAAATGTATTTGTCATCGGCAGATCTTATGAAGATAAAGTAACGTTAGATGAAGTGCCAGTAAGAACAACAGCGTACAGCGACAAAACAGTTAATTTGCAAATACTCAAAGAGGCATGAACGTGTTAAAATGTAATATGGGTGTTGTACTAGATGTACCAAAGCAGCTTTCAAATGAATTTTATCGGATACACTTCTAAAGCGAACGTGACATTGGGGTATTTTGTCGTGTTGGACACTTCTTCATTCTTCATTTTTGTTGTCTAAATGTTTCCATTCTTCTTTACAGCGACACTGGTTGGAAAACATCTGTATCGTCATCTGCCTGGCCTTTGGCGCCTTCAATGTCCTGAAGGAGATTGTTCAGATGCTTCACCAGGTAACTTCTTAATTCACCTCAAAGAAGATGTCCTAGACAAGTCGGAGGACAAATAAGATAATCGGCATTTCGAAACTGGAAAGCTAGTAGTTCATTGCCCTATAAGCTACGACGTTCAACGTTCCAAAGATATTTTGCTATTTCATATGTTTACTATACTGGGTACGGAAGTATTGTTTGGGGTGGCTAAACTGTGAGTTCATGTATCTGTTTGTATGTTTGTTTGCTCAGACAGATTTCATTTTTCACAACCACTTGTTTAACACATGCCGACGTGTGTCACCTTCATCAGGGCAATCAATTGCCAGTCAACAAGTCATAATTACCCTGATGAAGATGACAGACGCTCATTGAAACTTCGACGAAACTTCGAATCATGCACTAACCTTATTTGATTATTCACGGATATACTTTACCAAGAAGTCTGAAATCTCGGCTACTTTCCTTGTTTATCTCTGTAGAGGCAGAAGTACTTCAGCGACGTGACGAACCTGCTGGAGTGGTGCCTGTACGTGGCCACGCTGGTGTTCATCGTGCCGTTCCTGACGGACGCCTGCGAGAGGGAGGACATCGTGCGGCTCCAGTGGCAGATGGGCGCCGTGGCCGTGTTCCTGGCCTGGTTCAACCTCATGCTGTACCTGCAGAGGTAAGGATCTCGTAAAACTAGCCTCCACCAGGCCTTCCTAAGGCGATTAGGATACTAGAATTCGGCACCAATAGGGTCTAACTGACCAGGGGAGCGGTCCATGCACCATCAGGGTTTCATTTCCCCCTCTGGCAAATGAACTCTACGGTTGCAAATTACTCTTCATATTTGGCTAAATTTTCCTATTTTCGAACCCACGTGCCGTTGTTGGTCTGGCAGAGACTATCATAGATATTTATCAGAATATCAAAGAATTTGTACAGCTGTAAAGACTAAAAATATTGGCAGGGTTTAGAATGTCGTAAAGCTGTCGAGGTGGCAAGACGGCCTTATGCAGTACCAACTGCACAAAACTGGCGGGGCGTGTCACACCCAAAGGCTAGTCAGACAAGCAAACAAACAAGGGCTGTCTCTCCATCCGCAGGTTTGACATCTTCGGGATCTTCATCGTGATGTACATCGAGATCCTGAAGACTCTGCTGCAGGTCCTGATGGTCTTCTCCTTCCTCATCATCGCCTTCGGACTCGCCTTCTACATCCTCGGGATGTCAGCGGTAAGTACGAGATAGGATTCCACTCAATCATGGCGTAATGGCACTCCTTATGTTAACTTTATTGCAAATCCTTTCCCGATGGAAAGTTACGTAAAAAGATGCAAGATGCAAGAAAGAAAATATAGTATGTGACAACTCTGGTCCAAATGCTGACTCTATTCAAACTTCTGGTGTTTTTGACGTCTTGAAGAGTGGAAGACGAAGTATCCTGCGTATTACATTAAGTGTGGGTTCTGTGATGTTAAGAGGACAGTAGTTTTCTTTTAGTCTTTTTGAATAAATGTGGTAACATTAAGATGGAATTTGGTTGCAATTCCATTCTCTTTTGATCGTAGAAGTTGGAAGAGTGGATCATCTATTAATCACATCAACATCGTTGTTTATTTACCCCCCAGGACACCCTCGCCCACAGCACGGCGGGGCTGTCGTTCCTGCGCACCTCGATGATGATCATGGAGGGTCCTGACGCCGTGGATAACGTCATCGTGCCGTACGTGCAGAAAACCCTGCTGTACCCGGAGCTCACCATCGTCTTCATCATCGCCTTCGCGCTGCTCATGCCCATCCTGCTCATGAACCTGCTGGTGAGAAAACAGAGTAGTTTTCACTAATGTAATGTAGGTGGCAGGGTGGTCTTGAGGTCATCGTTGTTGATTTGGTATCTAAAGGTCCTGGGTTTGACCCCGTTCTGCTCATGGACCTTCTGATGAGAAAACGGAGTATTTTTCACATCCGAACATAATTTCACAGGATATTGAGGTTTTTCTTTTACACGACCAGTAATGTCTCTTACCTGCTTCCGTTTCGATGACTATCAGACTATCTTTCTCAGAGAATCTCAGTGATAAGCACATCTGGTCAATAGTAAATTGTTACAGAATAGTAATGTACAGCACAAGCGAGAACACCACTGAGACTCGGCAAGACCGAGGTTTTACATCTTGTTAACTTGGAACTAACGGTAACATGGATCAGAAATACACCTAAAATGATTGAATGATTGACTTGTCAAGTAATAAGACAAAAATATTTTGACAGATCGGTTTGGCAGTCGGGGACATCTCCGGAGTTCAGAGGAACGCTCAACTCAAACGTCTGGCCATGCAGGTATGTAAGCCGTTGTCGTCTGGGGATTTGGTGTTAATTTTTTAATCATTAAGATAAGATGTACGATAGACATCAGGATGATTGAATACAAAACTGCGACACGTTTATTCACGTGAGGTATCCTGAAATGAACAGTAATGTTTCTTTAACCAATCAATACTGCCAGTTTACTCCTTTTTGTACAAAGCACAGGTTAATGAAATAGATATCATGAAGCTGTGGTGGTTTTGAAATGGAAGTGGCCACGACGTGAAAAGCTTATCCTGCGTCAACGCACTTGAATGGGCATATATGGGTATATGGGTATATGGTAATACTGCCCAGTTACCATGGCTAACTCTGTATAATAGTCTCAGGCTTGATGGTCAGTCCTGGCTGTATATCATTTCATGCAGCCTAATAAATTAATTCTAATCAAATATTAAACCTATGCGCATCTTGACAGGTGGAGCTGCACACTGAGTTGGAGGCAAAGCTGCCGGAGATGCTGGTGAAGAAGGTGGATAGAAACGAGGTGACGGTTTACCCAAACACCTGCAAGGGGAAAATAGCCAGCGTAAGTATCTTTTCATATAGGCAAACATGTAGGTATATATAGGTAGCCCCGTAGTACCACAGCTGTATCGTAAGTAGTTACATGTACATGTATATCATTACAGTAATGTTATATATGTAGCTATTACTACAGATATTACTAGAATTAATTAGAATCCGAGTAGATGGCAGTTTTCTCTAGCTTTCTTTTTTAAGTTTTACTTCTTGGTTTAGCATGCTTTCCCGTGTGTCATTTCACGTGTAAAAAAAATCAGTATCCTCTAAACGCCATAAAACCTACACATTACAGAAAAAGTTGAATTTTTTATCTTGCCCTATTTCAGAAAAAGACGTCAAGTTAGCATGTAGAGTCAGCATTTAGAGTAAAGAAGGCACATGTTATATTATTCTTTAATCTTTGCTCCTCTTTTTATTTGCAGATACATGCGGGGACTTATTTGAATTGAAAAGATCCTCATTTATATATTACTACAAAAAGTTCATCTTCTATCTTTTTTCCTCAGATCCTCACGCAGCTGCGGGCCGGGATGGGGATAGACGACGGGAACTCTGTGGATCACGACGCGGCCCGGGGAGACGCTCTGAACGCCACGGTCAGCACCCGGGGCCTGGCAGTCGAGATGGACAAGCAGAAGAGAAGGTGGGTTCAACCTTAGCTTCTATGTCAAGCACAAAATATGAAATAAAGACCAAGCTTTAACTTCCAACACTTAGATTACGGAATTGGGACTTACCCAAATTTTCGGCATGACCCGCTACTACGGTCACGTGTCTCTGACGTGACGTTCCAAGAGTAGACGGGTCCATTCCGTGAACAAGGTTGATGGAGTCAACCGAAAATTTGGGTAAGTCCCAATTCCGTAATCTAAGTGTTGGAAGTTAAAGCTTAGTCTTTATTTCATAATGACTTGTACCAACACAGATGAACTTTCATGCTAAGACATGTATTCATTGACAAGTTCGGTCTTTATTACCTTCGTCAGAAGGGTATGTTTTCGGTTTGGGTCTGGTGGAGCAGCTGTGGTGTGGGTGTGTATGTAGGTCAACGTTATAACTCAAGTTGTCGTAGATGAATCTTTATGATATTTGGTATGTTGGTAGCCTGGGTACCATCCTACTTGTATGCCGGGGCTCCCACACTCGCTTCCCTTAGGGAAGCGAGTGTGGGAGCCCCGGCATACAAGTAGGATGGTACCCAGGCTAGTATGTTGGTACCTGTTATAAAAATGAAGGTCAAGTTCAAAATGGTCCACCTGGCTTTTCCAACGGTACTGCGACGGTCTATGTATGTGTTCACCATAACTCGAGAAGTTGAGAATGGATATTTGGTAGGTGAGTAGCGGTTATGGAAACAAAGTCCAAGTTCGAAAATACTTATCTTGTCATGTTCCTACGTTGCTGCAGAGGGTGTTAATTTCGTTGAGTGATCTCAATATCTTTTTTTCTATAATTTCCAACATGTAATCATAAGACGTGGTGACGGCACACTCAAGTTTTTCAAACTTATATTAATGCCGCTACCAACACAGAGGACAATACATTTTCACCTGAGCGAAGTGAGTAAAGTCGTGTAAAGTGTCTTTCCCAAGGGCACAAGATCGGTGGCATGTCAGGACTCGAACCCGGGACCTCTAGCTCTAGGTTCCGAGTCGAGCACTGTGCCGCTAAGCCACACGACCCCACGATCTCAATATTCAGTTGCTCAAAGGTCGTATTAAGTATATTGCGTAATTTCAATAGTATTTTCTCCACCTATAGGATGAAGGAGATGAACAGCATGTTGGTTCAGCAGCACCAGCTCCTGCGGCTCATCGTGCAGAAGATGGAGATCCGCACCGAGGCGGACGACCGGGACGTGGGAGACGCCGCCCCGTCCTGCATGACCCGCTCAGGGCCCGCCAGGCCCCCCACCGCGCCCCGGTCTCCATCCAGAAGCTCGGTTTGAGTAGACTTATTTCAACTAACCCGGGGCCCGGTCGGGCAGTTTACGGGAACTTGAAAACAAAGACATAAAAAAAATAAAAATACAAAAATGTTAAAAAGAAAAAAAAACTTTACTACTATTTGTGTATATTCTTAATATCATTTTTTTCATTCTCACAAACAGCCCGGACAGGCCCCGGTTTGGTGAGCAAGACCAAAAACCAAAACGTGTGACCAAGCTTTAAACCGTTCATCTGTGCCGGTGGATCAATTCTGGAGCAAGGTTAAACTGTAAGTTTCAACGCAAAAATGTTACTTACCCAAACCCCAGTCTTGAGCAATCCACCGCTTCTGTGACGTTACGTTTTGAATATAGAACTCGTGAGGATCATGACTCGATGATCAGTGAATCATAGGTTGCAGAAAGTTTATTGAGACCCCCGTCGTCAATATTCATTCGTGGTTCATTGAGCTTTTAATCATAAGCTGATACAGCCCTGCAAGGCCCTTGACAGGCGTTTTGAAATGAACCGTAATTTATAAGGTCTCATTGCATTACTCATTGAGATAGCGATTGTATGTACATGTATAAAACTAGTTGCATCAAGTTGTTGCAAGAAATTGTAACTATCAATCTCGGTTTGAACTTATACATTAATCATGTCACATAGTCAATTTGAATCAGAAGATATGCAGTATATAGAGCCGTTAAGTATCATATATAATCCACCTCGGTATTTATCTCGACAGAACATGCAGGCTCTTTCTTGTATTGTGATTGTATTAACTGTATTAAATTAGATTAGATGGCTTCACACTAACTATGTCGAATATAGTCACTCCGTGAGAAACGAGTGTTTATTGGTTCAGTAGCTACGACTGAAGGATAATGAGATTGTCCTTGAAATCACGTGGTTTGCACATTAAAATTAATGCTCCTTACATTTTTGGTGAACTAATTGTAACTGATATAGTCTCCTACATGTACATTTATACAATTACTCGAGAAAGCCGAATGCACTTCATGTATATCTCATGTATGTCAACATGTGTATGTGTATGTGTGTGGTTGTAAACGCGTGACTTGTACTTAGCCCAGTGGGACTTTATAATGTACAATTATTAGAGTCTCCATCATTAAAGTTTGCATCTAAATACATCGTTACTCTCCATCAATCTCCACTATATTACAGATAACTATAAAGCGTAATTGCTTTTACTTTAAATATATGAATTTGTTAAAAATGTGATGAATTTGAATTTTGATTTTAGCTTCAAATAATGTGGTAACTTAATTGAGGAACAGGGATTTGTAGTTTGCGACATCATTACATACAGCAACACCCCTGCTGACAATAATGATAGTCCTTTTGCCAGGCAACACCTAAGTTATGTGGCAGCGAGCATCAATAAAGATTCAGTAATAACGTTATATTCAATACTCTTGCCATTGAGTATTTATTTTCATACATTCATTTCAAACATACATACATACACATGCATTGTACGAGGTTAAAAACGGATAAAAATACTTTTTGCTAAGAAGAATTGGATTTTATCAATATTTGGTAGTGCATGGGCACCTAATGTACACGGTATGTAGGAGGGCCAAGGGCATAAAGGCTATTTTATCAGTATACCCGCTGATGAATATTGTCTGTTTGGACAATGTTGTTACAATGTAACCCCTACCACAATGATGTAACCATAACCATAATATGACAGATAGCACAAACAAAAGTGCAACTTACTCATTATAACACCACACAACATGAACGTTGCAATATAAACACTAGACTTATTCACTCAAGAAACCTAAATCGAAAGGTGGGGTCAGTACATTCTTATTCTCTTATAATCAAATATACGTATTGTTAACCAATAATGTCCTTGGTTTATGTATGCATTACGCATTAATATGTGTATATTATACATATGGTTAAAATATTCATTTTTTTCAAACGCCGGCAGCTATGTTTTTCGAAGATCTAGACTCATTACATAATATTCCAAAAACTGAGAAAAAAAACAGCTGTTGTTATAACGTGTGTAAAGGCAGCAATCATTTTGAAAAACTTCAGCAGTGGTGATGACGAGTTCAAAATGTGTAATTTGGTATTGGATTGGTAATTTGTATATTCAATAGTTTCTGCAGTAGTGCATATAGATTATATGATCCAAGGTTTTCCAACTTAGACTGCCATTAATAATAACTTAACACAGGATGGCAAAACAACCATCCCTCTCCTTAGTTGGGCCATGACTAGTAAAGACAATAAAAGTAACTGTTACTGCACAGTGTGCATTGTTAAATCTAACATTTGAACTCTGTGTTAACTGTAACTTTTTGAAGTCCCCAGTCTACTACTACTATTGCTCCTTCTACTTGTAACTTGAGGCCATTGTCAGACTGTCGAGAGCCAAAAATCAAACAGATCACAGTCAAAAATCAAACAGATCACTCAGTGGTCTTTCAGTGAGTACCCAATGACCTCCAAGTTCTTCTAAAGATCTCTAAGTTGCTTAGTGGTTTTTGGAATGATATAATGGATCGATCTTTTTTGTCGTTTCTCGATCGCTCAACGTTCATTTTCTTGTGGAAATGTCGATTTAGTCATGGTTCTTCTACATTTTTGTACAGAGAATTTGGCTTAGGGGTAGTCAGCTCTGTGGAATAAGATAGATTCCCAGCATCCAAGGATCCAGTGGCCTGAGATAGACCCTTTAGTGCTTCATAACCAGTGGTCACATTTGTATATGCTGGGTCATTTGGTGGTATTTCTGCAGCTGCATACGAGTACATGTACATAGCGTTAGGCAGCACTTTGGTATGTGGTACGTCACCAATTTTCCGAGATAGATCAATGTCAGCCTGAGGCTGCCTCTGCCCTGTCTGATCATGGCCACTGGCCATCAAACTACCTGTGGCGTTTGTGTTAGATTCAATAATGACCTGAGACAGGATCTGCCCTGTCTGGCTACGACTGCTGGTAGATGTTGGGTCCTTTGGTGGTATTTGCACACCTGGGTACATGGTATTCGGCGTTAACGCAGCGAGCACCTTGCTATGTGCTAGAGCTTTTAGAGATAGAGGTCGAATGTTAGCCTGGGACTGACCCTGTCTTGTATGATCACGATGGTTGTCAATATCTTCATATTGGTGATCCTCAACACTGGTCATGGTGGCTGTGTTTTGGGGGGTGGATTCAGAGTTGGTCTGATACTGGCCGCGTTGGTTGTCAATGTCTTCATACTGGTGGTCATGAAAGCTGGTCATTATAGCTTGTGAGTTGTTCATGTTGCCACCTGAAGCATTGGGATTCAGTCCAGGAGGAGGGTCCCTGGTCCTCCTCCTGTACCAAAGTGTGACCAAGAGGATGCTAATCAGGGCAAAGGCAGCTACTGAACCATAAAACCACAAACAGAGCCAATGAGAACCACAGACAGAGATACTGAGAACAGGTAGGGAGGGACTGGGGGCAGATTCTGGTTTGTGTGAAGTACTAGTAATTGCAAGGGGTGAAGTTAGTGTTACTATTGGCTTGCTTGAAGGGCCTGCAGGGTCGCTTTGTTTGCTGTCAACTGAAGCTGTTGACACTGTCACTGCAGATGAGGTCTGGATATATAGAGTTAGTGGAGATATGGTTGGCTCTTCACACATTTCCTCAGGATTGATATCTTGTAGCTTTTGTCCCTGAAATTTGGGGGGTTGGTCACATATTATCTCGTCTTTAATTGAATGAAATTTCATGATATTCAGTCTAAAGAGAGCCATCCTACAGTCACACAGCCAGGGGTTCTGCGTAAGCTCAATGCTATGATGTGGAAGAGATAGCAACAGGCCAAAATCCGAAGGGAGAATGGCAGACATTTTGTTTTTCCTAAGGCGCAAAAGTTGGAGCTTTGCCAGTTTGGGTAAAAGTCCAAATATACTTGGCTGAATATTTGTTATCTGGTTCTTCCTCAAGTCCAATGATTTGAGTGTTTGCTTTTGAAATGTGCCAGGCTGGATCATCTTTATCTGGTTATGGCACAATTTCAACACTTCTAGTCGTGGTAGATTTGCAAATGTAACTGGTCGAATCATCGTTATCCGATTATCGCACAACTCCAACTTCTCTAGTCGCGGTAAGTTTGCAAATGCACCTGGTTGGATAGTTTTTATCTGGTTAACGTCCAGGTCCAACCATCTTAGTCGCGGTAGATTAGCAAATGTACCTGATTGAATCATTTTTATCTGATTTTCGGACACTTTCAACGCATCTAGTCGTGGTAGATTTACAAATGTACCTGGCGAAATCATGGTTATCTTGTTTATGTCCAGGTCCAACCATTTTAGTCGTGGTAGATTTGCAAATGTACCTGGTTGAATCATTGTTATATTGTTCCTGTCCAGCTCCAACGAATACAGTCGTGGTAGATTTGCAAATGTACGTGGATGGATCATTGCTATCTGGTTCTGAAAAAAGCTCAAGTGTACCAAACCCCTGTACCTCCGCATCAGGGCCTGGTTTACAGCTGTTATACAATTACGTTCTAAATTCAAGCAAGAGAGAGATGATGGGAGGTTCTGAGGGATGCTGGTCAGGCCCATATCAATGCATGTGCAGTTTTCTGATGATGCACAGCTGCAGTCAGCTTCTGGCATGTTGGGCTCCTTCAGGATGATGAGAAGGAAAATAAGCACGTGTCGCAGCTTTCTTCCCATGGTGCCCTGTCACCTAGAAAGACCAGGAAGCATCCTTGTAAGGCCAAATTCATTCAACTTCATGCGTTGAAAGTATAACACTATACGTACTGGAAAATCTACATGATAAGATGAGATGGTTGTAAGAGGAAAGTTTTGCTCTACATGTACAAAGAAGAGAATATGTGGTAAGGCACGAATGATCATCCCAGAATTTTTTTTCATTCTTTCCTTGGAAAACTGTCAGACAATCAAGAAATGTAAGTTATTTGGCAAAAAACAACAACAGTAATTTGGAACAGCTTCATAGACCCTGTTTGACAGTAACTGTATTTTCTCCTGGTTTGTTTTCCTTATAGAACGTATGCTTCAGCAGATTTCCCCTGAAATGTCTGAATTGTGTAGCAACCAGTCCTGAATTGTGAGAGAAAGTAATATGGACCTCTTGATTGTCTGATAAAGTTAAATACCAAATGTACTATATATTATGACCATTTTTACTTCAGCAGAATGATGCTAAATCTAAATCATCCAGGACCAGCCTGAAATGAACAATGTACTTCACAGGGCAGGAATTAAAGCGATTACTTCGTAACTAGTACTAAGGTAGGCCGCAAAAAAAAGATGGCGGAACAAAAAGAGCAAAACAACACGATGAAAAGACTGCAAGCTCCGCCTCCAAACACGCTTTGGTTATTAAGGCCCGTGTGTGTGTAAAACTGTGCGCGGCCAGGCACGGTTCTGGATGTCCCCGCGTATCTAAGAACGTAGCTAGATTTGACAGAGGCACGGTCTTGGATACGCGTCGAATATCCAGAACAAGGCACGGTTCTGGATACAACATGGTATGTCCTCTTACATGTACGGTGCTTATTGTCTGAATTTCTGGCTATTTGAATAGCATTAACATTTATGATACAGATGAAAATTCTACTTGTGGTGCAGGTCTTGATATGCATATTTACTTGTTTTTGTTATTCCTGGTATTAGAGAAATGCAAACTAGAATCAGATTTCTGTCTTGATTATGAGACAGGCAAACGTTGTATTTCAGACCCTTGAAACGACTCGCATAAAAGTGCGCTCCATTGTCGATTTCAAAATGTACAGACATATTTTGAAATTTTACGCGACAGTATGGGATCCGTATACAAAGAAAGACAAAGACAAACTGGAAAGGGTACAGAATCAAGCTTCAAGATTCTGCACGAACAACTATAAAACGGAAGAAGTGTAACGAAAATGAAAAGAAACCTACAGTGAGGGTCGCTAGAAGACAGACGAAAAATATCCAGACTATGAATGATGCACAAAATGACTAATTAACTGGTGCCAGCCAGGTGCCGCCGCGCCTCGTGCATGCGAAGCTGGTGGCTCGTTCTCATTGAAATGTACAAAATGGTGATTTTTTTGGTTGAAAAATCGATGATCTGTTTTTTCAGGCAAACCTACCTTATTTTTTAGGAAAACATCTCAATTAATGATTACCAAAAAAGGACAGCTTAATTGCCATGGGAAGTTACCGAAAATTTATGCACTTAGATAAGACATATGTAAACAATGCAATTTTTTGTGCGGCAAAAACGCTGGAACATCAACATGAATTGGGTGTACGATAAAGCTTGTATTCATGACATCACTTCAAAAGCCTTTAGTTTAGGCGTCAGTATCTATGAAAGTGCTTCTGTCAACTCATTATTTACTGGTAAATATACACGTATTGAACACGTAAAGATAGCACAGTGTAGTGTATAGAAGTAGGAAAAAATATCTTTGGAAGCAAAGAAGAGTAGAACATCTGAGTCTGTTGACGCCACAGAGGGTTATTTTTCTTCGGATCCATATTTTTTCACTTTATTTCCAACTATTATGTTTATGGTGCATAGGGAAGGGAAATTCAATCTCTTGTTACGTCTTTTCCGCTACACGTGTAACTTCCGTTACCGGTAACGGATGTTACAAAACGGACGTTTTTGTTTATTTCTCCAAGAAGATCTGCAGTTTTTATCTTCATCATTGAGAACAAGGGGACATAAGTACGGACATTTTAAACTGGCGACTTTTTATATACCAGGTGAAGAAACTAAAATTAGAAAGTAAAAACAACGGTAACGGATGTTACATTTATTACTGTAAAACAATTTGTTCAGCGAATGTGGCTATAAATGACAGCACACACTCTTCTCTTCTTCTCTTAGAAACCTAGAAAACTTGCTAAAAGTCATCAAAATGGCAATTTCATGTTTTATATGTGACTCTATCTAAACTGCACGACCGTCTTACTTGAGCGGTAACGGATGTTACAGAACTTGGCGACAGGTATGAAACACCTCGCACGGCGTACAGGAATAGTGACAGGAGCGATCTGACTTGATCAATCAGAGGGCCTAGCCATCCGACTTCACCAGGCAGAAAACTACTGCCGTAATCAAATTGCTACGTTTTAGGCTGCTTTTTAAAGTTTCTATTTCGTCTCAGGCGACAGCCGCTTTTTAGGGGGAGAAATCCAACCCGCGACCATAATTTCTCTCAAGTCATCAATCAAACCTAGGTTTGTGGTACATTTTTCGTAAAACATAGTAAGTGTAGTGGGAAAGTGAAAAAAGCAACAATGAGGTCCATGATTTGGCTCAGACCTAGTCGTAAAGAGTGGCGACAGCATTTTGTACATTTGAATGAGAACGAGTGTGGTATGTTACACCGGAAGGGCGGTTATACCGGCTATACAGACACAGATACAAATTTTGTGGGGAATGTTGGCATTCACATAGTCATACTGCTTAGATTCACGACACATTATGATGGCGGTATTTAGGTGCCATGCTGAGCTTTTTAATTGTCTCTACATTATATTGATACTCGGCGCAGCCATCTATTGCAGTCTGTCATAACATAGTTTAACAATCTACCTTTCAAGCGGGTCAGCAGAGCCTTAGTCGACACTTTCTTGACAGGAGCTCGGGACTATGGTTACTGTTGTTCCTGTAGGGTGTGTTCTCCGTCGGTAGCTGGTCCGTAATGCCGTGTGACAAACAGCCCAACGTTAGTCTGACGTGTACGGTGGTGCTAATTGTCTGGCTATTTGAATAGCATTAACATTTATGATAAAGATGAAAATTTTACTTGTGATGTAAGTCTCGAGATGCATATTTACTTGTTTTCGTCATTCCTGGTACAAAGAAAATACAAACTAGGATTTCTGTCTTGATTGTGAGTGAAGCAAACGTTATATTTCAGAACGTTGAGCATCTTCGAACTTCCACTGCATAAAGAAAAGAAGTCAAACCACTCAACTAGCGGAAACAGATTTAAGATAGTTCATTTCACTCATAATTCATTTGTGTAATCCATTTCTCTTTTCTGGTAAGCATATCGGAACCACATCGGAAGTGTTTTGATACACTACTCTTTTTTTAAGGATCAGAGAATTTCATGTGAGGATCGGGAAAAAAATAGAACCTCTACACCCTAGGCCAGAAAACCTGACCAAGTGTACCCAACGAAAAGCCCGACAAAATGCTTAAAACGCATAAAATTTTCAGAACAAACTACTTGGAGAGTACAAGAACCAACTACAACTTTCTTACGTGCATAGATTCAAATCTCTATTGTATCTTATTTAGAATGTAGCCAAGGATACAGATGCTACGTTTGTTGAGATGGCCCAGTATACCAGCCAAGGCCTACCGCGCCTTTATTGATGGAGGTATCAGGAGCGGGACGCCAGGCAAACATATCCGACAATGAATCATTCATTTTCAAAATTCCGTGGAAACAAAAGGACTCCCTCGAGTTGACCCGCTTCTATAGATGGCCCCTAATAGACCCCCCTCCCTGAGCCATTGGGCATTCTGACGTTGACGTCATTCATCAATGACAGCCTCTTGTAACTCAACACCGGTCTTCACACACCGTGCCGTCCGGGGTCCGGCCTTTCTTGAAATCGAAGCGCCGTGGTGACGGGCCGTGTCGTGCACCTGCCCTACTGACTTTCTGGCAAGGGAAAAAATGTCGCGGCTCGGTTTGGTCTTCTGCCTTTGCTGCACGACCCTGACTCTCTACACTGGTCCGGTCTTGGCGCAGGGCAGTGGATACGGTGAAGACCCTTCTGGTGATTACAGCGGCTCTGGATCTGAACCCCGGAAAGGGACCGGTGTGTACTATGATCCAAGTGGCTCGGGATCGGGAGACTACGATCCAAGTGGTTCTGGGGGCTCTGAACCTCAGAAAGGGACCGGCGTGTACTATGATCCAAGCGGTTCGGGATCGGGGGACTACGATCCTAGTGGCTCTGGGGACTATGGTGGGGACCTTTGGACCCCGATGTACTTCGGTCTGGATCCCAACGGTAAGCACTTTCCTTACATTTGTATTAGAAAAAAGTCGTACTTGTAGAAAAATGGAAAATTGCAAACTGGATTCAGTGAACTAAATTAATCAATTTCAACCGTTCGCAGCAACTTTCATTATTTACAATTTTGGGAAAATGTATGAAAATCTTTTCGCCAATCTGCGAATGGGGCATTTTTTTCCTCCTATGTGTATGATATGAATTCAAAGAGCTCTACAAATGCAGTATCGGGTAGGCACTTCAGATATCCAACTGTTCGAGGCATTATGAAGAAGACCTCAATTACATTTTTAACACAACTGTCTTAGACTATTCGGCGCAATAATGAGAGTAACTGGAGTTAGGCATTTGTTGAACTCTCACACGAGATGAACCTTGGTATTCAACACACTCTCGTGAAGGCCTTGGTCAGCTACAAAGTATCTGTATCTGTATAGCCGGTATAACCGCCCTTCGGCGTAACACACCAGCTTCGCAGGCACGCGGCACGGCGGCAGCTAGCTATATCACACCGAACGACAAGTACAGTAGTTACTAAATCTTATTTCAAAGTAATGACCACAGGCCAAACATGTAACACTTTCGCAGCTCAGTAGAGGGGCCCGTGTGTACATCCTATAACTTGATTTAATCATTCCTTGTAAATCTGTAGACTTTTGGGCAAGGAGAAACAGATGGGGTCCAGACATTTCAAGAAATTACTTTTAATCTTTCAGAAAAGTACTTTTACTTTTCCAATACTCTCTTTTCACTGTACCACCAGCCATGTGTCACCCAGCACGTCGTCAATCGTGATCCATTGCTACTGTAATCGTAGAAGAAAATGCCATACTGCTTGGCCAATTGACCCGTTCTACTTGAATGTTCCTTACGGTGCGGTCACGTCCGTCGCAGGTTATTGTATACGCTTTTGATGTCGCAGAATTGACAAGAAGGCTTTGGCAGAACCAGTTGCTTACAAGGATCTTAGAAAGCATTTTTCGTTACAAGACAAATTTTCGTTACAACACATACACGACAATTCCAAGAATGTCGAAGTTCGCGATCGATTTCGTACGAGAAATGTGACCTGACAAGGAGAAAACTTTAAAATTTGTCTTTCTTTGAGCTTTGGATTCAAAGCCAATGTGTCTCTTATGCCTCACTCTAAATTTAATTTCGGCCTAACATAGAATATCGTCTTAGTGCCACTAGAAGAACCTACTAGGAGAAGAGGTTTCTCCTGCTGTGTCAAAATTTGAAGAAATTGACTTTTTCTGCTCGTCTTTTCAAAATTGTCTGTGACGTATCGTTATTATCCGTTCAATGAATTGTTGCTGGGCATCTTCCCCACACTAAGCCAGACCAAGGCACGTAAGACACTAGACACTTTACGGCTTTCATGCAAGCAGACAGGTATGCAAGTATGGAAGGTTGACAGTACAACGGATCCAGCGACATGAGTCTACATTGTAGTTTCTATAGGACATACATCTTAAATGTGTTCGGATCTCTTAAAACAAATTAACATCAGATTAGGAAACTATCAACATGTACTACCATGTTTGACAAGTTACAAATAAAAGAACTTAGAAGAAGGGTAAAATTGAATGCCATTGAACTGAATGATTCAGTGGGTATATGTAGGCATATCCAATAACAGTTATGCCAACAATCTGACGCAGACAACAGTACCTTTACCCCAGTGGCAGGGCAGCGTGACTCTGTTGGGCACCGTCTCCCTGGTAAGGCTCCGCCCAGTGAGTTCGTTAAACAATGCACCTTGTTAGCAAACACGAGTAGTGTGTGCACGAAGTAGCGGTGAGACAAAAACCACCCAAGGGGGGCTGTTGGGGCCAGGAGCTAGCCACTGAATAGATTAGAAGAGCCACAAAGTTGTGTATATTTGTGTGTTGTTGGTAAGCAGACGATTGTATGATAGTTGTGGCCTAGAACCACTGTTGTGGCAACAGGTGGTTGGGTGATGGTGACTGTCATCACAGACCACTGATATATCATCATTAGCCTTCTCTATGGGTCAGGGATGTTTAATGGATTATAATGGGCTTTTCTGGTTATATATCTGATTCAGTACTAATTGTGCCCGGTTTCCTACAGTAAGCCGCCTCCTCAGAAAAGAATTATCAAAAACCCTTAGTTATTTCTGTAACACATTAGGAACCTTCCAATGACTTTGCTTCAGGCCATTCCAAAACACGGGTCTGCGCTGGATTTGACGTTGCCTTGGATGTATCTTATTCCTGGACTTGTCTAGCTCCGGTTCGCTATTTTATTGCGTCTAAACTGTACTTTCTATGTGACTTTCTTGACCTTGACTTTTCGACTGCCACAGGCAACTTCCAAAGACTGTAGTAGGCAACCTTACCGACCGACTTCCAACCAAAGAAGAACAAAATCGCATTTAGTAGTTCAAACGACTAATTCCCAACTATGGTCCGGAGAAGGTCGGGAGATGTAATAAGGGCCTGGGGTGTAGGGGGCTCTGGATAGAGGTCTGGACCTTTGGCGGCCTGCAAGAGAATAAGGGCCTAACTCCTAACCATGGTCTGGAGAAGGCTTGGAGGCCATGGTCGGCCGGCTATGTGTAACATAGTCAACAAGGGATTAGGCGATCAGGGCAATTACCACTCAAAGGTGTCTCAATGGTTAGTGTTCCAGAGAGAAAGAGCTAAAGCGTCACAATGCGGAAAGTTAACAGTGCCAGGAGGCACAAAAAGGCCCTTACAGAAGGGTTAATGTGTTTTTAATTAGTGCGTAATGACCTCCTGGCCTGAACCATCATAAATCATATCCGTTCATCCGCGGACGGAGACCTCTGTGCTACCTTAATTGGATTTGTATGGCCCAGTGTGTTCAACATCATCTTTGTTGAATCAATTATTGAATCAGCACATTTCAAAGACAACATGAAGAGTTTTTAAAACGTTGATCCATTGTATAAAGGTATGATTTGAATGCAACGAAGCAAACGAAATGTAGTTATCTTTATCATGTCTTAATCTATATGAATTCGTTTGAACCACTACTGAGATTTTGGTTGTTCAATGGTCGCTGGGTGGAGAGGGGAAACAACCTTTTATATATGTCTATGAATATATTATATATATGTCTATATATTATTGCTTTAAAATTACAACACCAATGACTGAATAAGTAACGTTTAAGATCACCTAGTAGAGGATGGAAACGACAGCGAACATAGCTATACAAACCTGTTTTGTACTGTGAATAATTGTAGTCCTTTCGCGAAGAATATGCACCATTGACGTAAAAGAAAAGTGTTTAGTACCATAACAGACACTGCGGTTTTTCGTCTTTCTTCTGTTGCGTACCAGTCGCACTAGTCATAGCCACCATCCAAGGTACTAGTATACTAAAGTGTTCAGTATGAGGTTTAGTGTTCTTGCATAGCCTTATCCTGCATGGCTTATGCTATGTTCGGCCAAAACATGTCTTTAGATTTTGCCTTCCCAAAAGAGTGACTGCGGACAATGATCTTTACTAGCTTATTGTTACGGAGGACAGTTCATGGTCAAATTCCAAACGTTCCAAAAACGCTCCTATGTTGAAAAAGCAGAACGTACAAAAGTGTTTCTTGTCCACTATTTCACGCTTTGCCTGTATCTTTACTATAACGCTTTGGTCTTATTGAAAAGCTACCCTTGTATCCTAAAAAAAAGGCTTTGCACGAGTGCTCTTCATGTTTTAAGACAACTACGCGTGCCGAGAACAATTGCTTAAACCGATTCGAGCCGTAACGCTTATAATGGTCTCCTTACCTCGGCTCCCGCTAAGTCGACATAAGCCGATAAGCAATGCAATGTGAGGGATGTGTGTAAACGTTTTCTTTCAACAGGGTTCTTGGGGTGTAAACAGCACGCACTTAAACCAGATAGTGCATCTTTCTGTTAGTAGCCGTTTATCGTACAATGTATGGCATGCATGGGCATATTTCTCTTAATGTCTCTCTTGACATGCAACATGCCTTTATACATTGGCCCTGCCAGGACTAGGAGATCCTCAGTGTTAAGGGCATCGTATCCAGACTCATGCCTGTGCCTGAGTGGGTTAGGATTCGGATTAGGCACGGTTCTGGATAGCCTCCGCGTATCCAAGAACGTCGATTTGCCCCCGGCATGGTCCTGGACACGCGCGAACTGTCCAGAGCCGCGCCTGAGATTGGTTCTTGATACAACAAAGGGGGGCGGTACGAGTTCAGCCCCATCTCCATTCCCTCCCTTACCTGAGTACAAAACCACCAAATCTGTTTAAAGTTGGATCAAATATCTTGTGGTCGCCCCTGTCCTCATAGACGAGCATTCAAGCATGCTGGCGCACCCTGTTCTCGTTTTGTCTCTACAGACGACCCTTGTCAGCTTACCTGCCAGTCTTTCTCAGGTAGTGGGCGTGGAGAGGTATTTTCAGGCTACAGATGTCACAGGGTCATTAAAAATACGTCAAATGTACACAACGTTCGATGTTAGGACATCTTCTGTTCCTGCGCTCTGTTATCCTTGACTTATGAGTGTCTTTGGGGCAGTGTGTTGGTATATGTTGAGTGTTTTTACTGCCTTATACAGGAATGATACCGTGCATATCGCCCCAATTATGCATCACTAGTGTGTGTATCCTGCATTGTAAGTGCTGTATGCCCAATTCCTGTACCGCCACCAGCCAGCCCAAGGCTGACGAACAATGCTTCTCTGTAAGCTGACCCTTGTTCGCAGTAACGCGAACAGGGTTGGTTTCCGTAGGTCATAGAACGTCTGCATCCCACCATGCCACTCCCAGGCCCTGATGTCATAGCCAATCACCGAGCCGTGACTTGTGGTCGCTGTGTTGGGGTTGGTCACTATGTGCTTAGTCACCAGAGCCGTTCGACTTGCGACAGAATGCGGGACTTACTTGGATACTTTATTAACTCCATTTAACTTGCATAATGACCCCGTGTTTGTCTTAGAGCTAATAGGTCACGGCCTGGCCACATTTGTCGTGGGTCGTCGTGCGATTTTGATGCTTTATGATTTTCAAGCAGGCTATGAAAGAACCAACCAACCAATCAACCAACCGACAACACATACACGACCATACGAAGAATGCCCTCGATAGCAATCTTACTATCATCGTACGATGAATTGGCCCTAACTTAAAACTTTTTTATGGATTGGTTAAGTGCAGTTAATTTTTGCTATTTGTTGTAAAAAGAACCCCCTCTGTCGTTGGGACCAAGAGCGCTCACATACCCACTGACGGTAGTCTTATAGTCTTTTTCAGGCCATTAGAGGCAGTGGGTTGTTGATCCACCCTCCCTTTCTATCACCATTTCTTACCCAACCAAAGTCACGTACAAATTTTACATCTGGGTGGAATGAAAGGAAACCCTTCCCAAGGAAACAGCGTGTAGTCAGAAATGGCAGGAATCGAACCCGTGACCTCTCAATCTCGTATCTTCTCGCCTTAGTCACTCAACTCGATGACACACTATCAACCTCTTGTCAAGCCGCCATGTCTCGGAAAAAAGATAGTGAATGGTCTTACGGCATTAAAGTAGTAAACTGAAGACACTCGTTGTATTAGTGTCCATGACAAGATTACCTATTGACAGTAATTGATGCCTAATGATTGACACTTATCACATTTGATGAGCCTTTTACACAGGCAGCTGTCAGGGAATCCTTCCGCCTACTTATCTGCTTTCAGAATCAGTTGCCAAAGATGCTTTCGTCATACTCCTTTTCCATGGTAGGAGACCGCTGAGCGACTCAATGTAAAGACGTGAATGCAAAAATATATTTGCAGACTTTCCATCTATATAGATGAAATAGCCCTCGTCCTGGGCGACTAATGTAAATGCATGAATGCAAACAGAGATATTTGCAGAATTTTCAACACTTTCAAAAACACAACTCTCTTCCTGCAGGTACGTGCAGCGACTCCCCTTGTCAGAACAGCGCTGGCTGCTGCGAGGCCCCCGAAGGAGGCTGGTACTGTTACTGCCTGCTAGGGTACGAGGAACCGGGCTGCACCACCTTTAACGACCCCTGCAGCTCGGGAGAGAACCCTTGCATGCAGGGAGGCACCTGTTCTTTCGACTCCTACAGTAACCAAGCCTACTGCCAGTGTCCACCAGGATTCACAGGTAAGAAGGTTGATTTTGCTTTTATCACTAAGCAACGTCCTCTAACCAACCTGCATGAGGTTTTTGGATACGTTCAACTAACGATAGGTTCTGTTAGCCACTGACGAAAGTTGTGAAAGACACTTGAAACGCCTGACAGTTTTCAAAATCCATCCTGTTGCTTGAGATTCCCTTCTGTATTTTATTCCTTAATCGACACCACAAACAATCTATTAGATGAAAATCATTCCTACCATGTCAGTAAAAAATTGAAGGCTTTTGGTATTATTCCTTGTCCCCATGTAACCCCGTCCGTTGTTTACCAGGGCGAGCGTGTGAGTTCGCGACTCCCATCGACTGTACCTCAGACGAGTGTCAGAACGGAGGAACCTGTGTTCCCGAGTCGTGGGGAGATGCCTGGTGTAGCTGTCCGGAGGGTTTCTCGGGGCCCTCATGCGAGTTCGTCATAGGGGAATGCGAGGAAGACACCTGCATGAACGGCGACTGCGTGGAATGGATCTGTGATGGCTACTACGCCTGTAACTGTGAGGAAGGTATGTGATGGGGGACCTCAACATGGGCTGCATCTCGTTGTCCGTATCATACTGATTTCCTTCGATTTCGTAATCTACATTGAACATTATTTTCTCTGTTTTGTTTTTTGGGCTCAAATCGGGGAAAGGTACATCTTTCTGAAATGATACCTTTACAAACTAGAAAGGCCAATATTTTCTTTGGAGCAAATACAGCGATGGGTTCACCACATTTTACGACATGGCAGGGAAAGAATGAGAAACACAAGGGAAAACAATGATTTACATTGATATAACTATAATGTAAAGTAAAATACAACTAAAACAACAGTTGGATAGCTATTCCCTACTTTATTGGTTAGGATTTTTAATTGCATAATGCAAACTGTTGATTTTCAAAATAAAAAAAAACGTCCATGCCCCGCATTCCAATGCTGGAGCAGGAAAGCTTGAAATACCTACCAAAACACTTGAATACAGACATACTGTCAGTATGGAAATGTTCTGTGCAGGTGTTAATCAAGTTAAATCCCAACAGCCAGTCAGCAAGAAATGCTCTGTGCAGGTGGAAATGCTTTGTGCAGGTGTTGATCAAGTTAAATCCCAACAGCCAATCAGCAAGAAGAATAGAGGAAAGCTGCATGCCTATTGGTTGATGCCCTGCATTCCATTGTGATGACTCATGCCCAAACGTGGTAAACAAGGCACACTAACGGACTAGGTAATACATTTGCTATAACACAGCCAAAAAACTCAAATAAAACCATTCTAAAAGCCTGTATCACAATAATTTAAAAAACGCCTAGGGGTATTTGCCCACTGTACCTCCATACCAAATTTCAGGACCTTGGGCCCTAAAATGAAGAAGCTGAATCCATTTAAAAAATGGCAGGAGGAGAAGGAGAAGGAGAAGAAGAAACATCAGAAAAAGCAATATGGGTTCACCACCACTTCGTGGTGTGGTGAACCCATAATTAAGAATTTTGTCCAAATAAGACTATGACAAAATCGCAGTTACATTTTGAATCTGACTATGATTCCAGGATATTCTGGGACTTACTGTGAAGTGGAGGGAGATGGCTCTGGGGACTATGGACCAAGTGGGTCTGGCGACTATGGGCCAAGTGGGTCCGGGGACTACAATGAGACCGGTGGGTACAGCCTTACATAACTATGTTCTTTTGAACCCATCTACATAGGCAGTTACCATTTTCCACCTTAAGCTAGCGTAGAAATGACAACAAACTAAACAGAAAATGAAAGCCAGATAAAACCATGTCAAGCATAAGCCTAAGCCCAAACCTCTGCTTGGAGAGTAGAAGATATTGGCATCGTTCTCATTAGTACTGTCATCGCCCCCCCCCCCTTCACAGATGGTTGCAGCAGTTCCCCTTGTCAAAACGGCGCTTCCTGCTGCCCGGAACCCGACGGAGGCTGGTACTGCGACTGTCCGCTGGGGTTCGACCCACCGACATGTGACACCTTCAACGACCCCTGCAGCTCGGGAGAGAACCCCTGCATGCAGGGAGGCACCTGTCACTTCGATACTACCATGCCTGACTACGCCTACTGCAACTGTCCATGGGGATTTACAGGTAGAAATAGAGCTGTGTACCGGTACGCAGTACCGATACTGTACCGGAAAAATTGATTAGGTACAGGTTCAAAATACCTAATCCCTCAGTACCGGTACTGTACCTAAACAATTTCACACCAATTTTATGCCTATTTGTGACCTCAAATGTTTAAATAGCTGGTTAACAATGGGTGCCTGTGTAAGGACAGTGTGTTCATGAAAACAAAAACATCTTAGTTTTGCCTATATTTTATCTGAGCATTCGCCATAAACAAAGAATAAACCTTAACTATCAAGTTTATTTGTGTTTTTTTGTTATTGAAGGAGTTCAGAAGAGCATGTAAATTGGTCGAATTGTTCAGGTACAGGTTCAGGTCCGGACCTGTACCTAAACCTGTGTACCTGTACCTGTACCTGTACCTAACATTTGTTTAGGTACACAGCTCTAGGTAGAAATTCCACTTAAAGTTTATAACTTAAGTACATGCACCGTGTTCCTGTTCTGGACAATGGACAAGATAAACCTGCAAAATCTTTGGATATGTCTAAGATATCATTGCCCTGTATACCTTTCTGACATGTTTTGCCAGGAGCGATCTGCCAGGAGCATTGGTGCTAATCTAGCAATAAGCTAAAAATAACACCCATTAAAGTCTATACTTACTTTTGTGCTCTTCTGATAATCTCCATTCGGATTCATTGGGGGCTAGAGGACGGTCAAATTGTCCATCCGCGTTACTATTTCCAAAATGGCCAATTGCCGATAACTACAAGCAGGCAATATAGATTCCCCTTGCACGGAGAATCTGCCTCGAGATTACCCTTGTGATAGCTAAAAAAACTGTCTGCCTGATTTAGGTAAAGTGTGTGAGACCACCGTGCCCACCGACTGTAGTTTGGACGAGTGTCAGAACGGGGCGACCTGCCAGACGGAATCGTGGGGAGATGTCTGGTGTTCCTGTCCGCCGGATTTCACCGGGCCTTACTGCGAGTTTGTGGTGGGAGAATGCCTAGAAGACAGCTGCGAGAACGGACATTGTCGTCCGGTGGATTGTGAGGGACACTATCACGAGTGCGATTGTGAGGAAGGTACGTAGCCGGTTTCTTGTTTTTCACGAAATGCTCATTGTATGCTCTCCTGTTGTCTCTGTCCTAAATTTTTCAAAAGTTGTGCGTGTTGTAATGAATGAACACGACTCCTGTATCAATCGAATAACCAAAAACACTGGCATGATGGCGTGGTTAGCATGATTTAGTCTGAATGTGTTTCATCAGGATATGCCGGGACTTTTTGTGAAATGGCGAAAGGCTCTGGGGTCTATGGACCAAGTGGCTCCGGGGACTATGGACCAAGTGGTTCCGGGGACTATGGACCAAGTGGTTCTGGAGACTATGACCCATTCGGCGCTATGTACTTCGGCTTGGACCCAAACAGTAAGCTTGATGTGTGCATATTGTTACTAGAAAAAACAAAACTGTAATAATGATACATAAAATAAGTGGGGTATTTCCAAAATAATTCAAGTTGGGATGTTGTACTCCGAATAGTCTTGAGAAAAAACTGCAATATTGCAACGTCTCAAACAAGTTCCCTCTTTCTGCAGGTACGTGCAGCGACTCCCCTTGTCAGAACCACGCTGGCTGCTGCGAGGCCCCGAAGG